TGACCGAGCAAAAATGCTAAAGGTCACCAACGATCAGGTAGCTTTGAGCAACCAAATTCATCAACATATGGATGTGGGTCAAAACCTTGTACCCCTGTAGTTCACATCACAATAGCTGGGATTTATGGATGTTCATCCCACTAAAAATGGTATTTTCATAGGTATTGATCCATACCCATATTGAGATGATTATGGGATGAATAGTTTTTTATTAACCATTAATAGTGGATTTTCCCATTAAAAATGGTGATTTTCCATAGCTATGTTAGTTTACCCATATGTCAACCATTGTTAATCAAGGACTGTTGAAGCAACACCGTCGATCGCCAAGCGGCCGATGTGTGGCCACGGCTGCATAGTCGGTCTTCCCAATGGCTCCGATCCAGGCTAACTGGCCTGGTTGAAATTCCTCAGCGCTAAAGCTGCATCCGATGCATGGGATTTACCAAGAACAAAGGGGAAGATTTATCAAAAATCATAGGGATTCATAGGTATAGTGGGGTTTTACCATAGTTGGGAAAGCAGGTCAGAATTTCTTAGACAAACATAGATAAGCTGGTTATAAACCTTGGTAAAACATAGGATTTACCAGCAATTTTTTGTGGGACTACAGTAATGTGAAGATTACCATAGGATTGACTTTGAATGGAGCAGCAGGGAAATTATGACAAGACTGGGTAATTCAGGGCTAGTTCTCGGTGATTTTGGCTATGTAAAGTTGTGAATTAGTAATTAGGGAAATTGACAACTAAACGGAATATTGCAAATTTTAGTTGGCAGATATAAATATTGTGAACCAAAGGGTAGGTATATATGATATATATATATATAATGATGGGTCAAAACGTGTCTTGTTCCGAGCACTAGGCTTCTATTAGGACCCAGCAGACAACAACGCAAAAACTATATACCGTCGGAAGCCTAAATTCACTGGGAAAATCATGGGTTGTCAAAAGATCCAATCCGTTGAAGGATCCTGAGCCCTCCATGTTTGAACATCAGGCAAACAAATGCAAAAAAAAACAAAACAAAATCTTCAGAACATGAATGGCACCCCATGAATGATAATAGTGCCATTCATATACATGATTATAGTTATTATAATATATAATATGAAATAATAAAAACCCCATGGTTCTTTTCGCCTTTCAGACACTAATCCATGACGACTCTGTGGGGTTTCCCCCCATCGCGCACGCGAGGCACTGGTGCGCATTCTCGGAGTTTCTCGCCATTCTTGGCGCTCACCGGAGGCTCCTTGCCGAGCAAAGGAGGCAAAGAGGCTTGGGCTGCCTATCGTTGGTGGTTGCTTCAGCCACCTCCCGGTAAAAAATATGATTGTCAGTTGGAATTATGATCCCATTTCTAGGATTGAACATCAAAATGCCAGAGTAGTTTGGGAAAAAAATCTACACCGGAACAAGTTTCTGTGTGTTTTTGAAAAATTTGGCACTAAAATCAATTGAGTAAAGGGGATGCATGAATTGAACCTTTGATATTTCGGTTCAAATCATCTACACCAATTGCATGGTTGGCCTCAGTTGAGCAGTGCCAAGTTTACCTTTGTCCCAGCTATTGAGGGCTGTTTCACCAGACAAGATAACAAACAGGCGAACTCCGGAAAAAAACACACAAGAATGCAAGCAAAAGGGTCATCTTCCGATCTCACTTTCGACACTGTATATTATATACATAATATATAACTTATAATATATAATATAATATAATATATAATATAATATATAATATAATATATAATATAATATATAATATAATATATAATAATATAATATAATAAATAATATATAATAAATAATATATAATATATAATGGCTAGGGGATGATTTCGGACCTCCCCTTTTCAACATTTTTATATAACCATAACTTCAAGAATACAATGCACAAAGCAATATAGAGGACAATAAGTAAAATAAGTTATAATGCATACCTTTATATTAGCAAATAAAATGCAATGCACAACTTTATGTCTGCAAAGAAAATGCAATGCACATGTCGGCATGGTGGGCCGAAACTATCGCGGAACCTATATAATATATAATATATAATACATAATATGTAATATAATATATATATATATATATACACCCCCTTATTTTACCGTGGAAGTCAGGATGGAAAAACCTGTCGGTTTACATGGAAGTCGTTTACGTCCCATTCCTGGGGAAAAAGTGAATCTGGGCTACCGGGCCAGCAAATGCAGAAAAACTGACCGTAAATCACTTACATGGAAGTAGCTTGAAGGAGCATGTTCAACATGGAAGTTGGAAAACTGAGACTAAAAACGCTTACGTGGAAGTAACTTGAAGGTCCAAACATCAGGTTGGCAACTTCTATGTTAACATGTTCTCCCCTCATGTTGAATACATCCTTCTAGGGCGATCCCTAAAACCCCCAGACTGACCGCCACATCATTTGTTTTCTTCTTTGCATCTATCTTCTCACCCCCGTCATGCTGGTCACCCGTATCTCAAAAGCAATCACCAAAGGGTCCAAGTCTGGATTCAGCACCAAAAGTTCACAAATCGGGCTTTTTACATGAAGAGTTTAATAAAGAAAAAAACATATGAAAAACCTGGTGTGGGATTCATGTCTTTTCCTTCTTTTTGGGAAATGAAATCCTCCTGAGAAGTATGGGGAACCCTAGTACCAAACCAAAGGTTTTACCATGAATAGCATGATTTTTTAACATGGCACTCCGTTCCATGTTTGGTGATTCATCTCTTGAACTGCTGGTCGCCCATATCTTAAAAGCAACCATCAAAGGGTCCAAGCCTGAATTCAACACCAAAAGTTCACAAATCGAGCATTTTATATAACGAGTTTAATAAAGAAAAAATCATATGAAAAACCTGGTTTGGGATTCATGTGTTTTCATTCTTTTTGGAAAATGAAATCCTCCTGAGAAGTATGGGGAACCCTAGTACCAAACCAAAGGTTTTACCATGAATAGCATTTTTTTTAACATGGCACTCCGTTCCATGATTGGTGATTCAAAATTTCTACGTTAATCAACAAATGCCCAGGATTCCCGGGGAACTCGTGGCAAAAAGAACTAGCCAAAAAAAAGGGCCCAGATCCAAAGAACACAAATTTGCAGTTTACCCCCCCCCATTGCAACTAACATGGAACTAAACCTCCGAATTGTCACTTTAGTTAACGTGGAATAAAAAAAAATGCAGTACGGTAAATGGAGGGGGAGTAAAGGACCGAGCGCTCGCTAACATGGCACTGCCCACATCCTACTTCAAGTAGCAAATTTCTATGTAAGTTATGTGTTCCAATCGTTGGTTGTTAAAAAATGAAGGCAATCCCAGCTTTATCTTGAAATATCTTGAAAAATTCAAAATTTCTACGTTAATCAAAAAATGCCCAGGATTCCCGGGGAACTCGCGGCAAAAAGAACTAGCCAAAAAAAAAAAAAAGGGCTCAAATCCAAAGAACACAAATTTGCAGTTTACCCCCCCCCCAATGCAACTAACATGGAAGTAAACCTCCGAATCGTCCATTTCGTTAACGTGGAATATTTTTTTTTTGCGCTACGGTAAAAGGAGGGGGAGTATTAGATATAATATATAATATATAATATATATTAGATATAATATATAATATATAATATATAATATAATATATATATAATATGATATATATATATATATTAACATATAATATATATATATATTATATGTTAATATATATATTAACACATAATATATATAATACATAATTCACTTTATGGAATCATTATTTTTTTCACACACTGATTGGCATTGAACGCTTACATGTGTTCCATTCATAGACAGTACACAGGATACTATGACCACACCTGCAGAGCCACGGCCGTGTATGCCGTGTCCCCTCCTTTATCCACGGTAGTTTCTCTGCGTTCGCTGTCGCAAGAGATCCCTGGCACCCGGTCCCCGGAAAACTGGTGACGACTGAGTCACAACTGTTTCGCCAATTGAGAAGTGGACAGTTAGCTATTTTTAGACAATAGCTATTTTCAGACAATCTATGATAATCGTTAAAATAGGATTGTCTAAAGAAAAGACTTGCATTGGAAAAATATTTTTTTGGACCATCATGGACCATCTATGCTTTTTTTGCTTTGGAAAATGGGTTCAAAGATGTTCAAAGACGGAAGTGCACCAATGGTTGATGAACAGGGGTTCCCAGAATAGTGCAACAAATCGAAACAATTTCAATGAGAACCCGTCTCCTGCCATGAACTCAACAAAGTTGGAAGGACCCATGAAACACCAAGAAGCCAGGTAGGTCGTGCTTTTATTGTGGATGGCTTGTAAATCCTGTTCATCAACTCATATATCAGCAAGGTTGCAGGACCGAACGGAGAAGAACTCTCAAAATGGAAGTCCGTCAAACTACCTCTTTCCCAACTGCTCTCGCACGGATATTTTCTGCCATTCCTATCCAATCCATATCTGTTGACTGCTGGCCTTAACATCATGGTAAGCATCCTCGTCGAAGTTGCGCAACAACTTGTGCAAGTAGCCTGGTGAGTTTGAGGCAAGTCCCTACCAAGGACTTGATTGGGGTTGGGACTACAATGAAGAGCCGGCCCATGCTGATTCAACACTGATCTGGTTGGTGGTGACTTAACCATCTTGAAACATATGAAAGTCAATGGGAAGGATTATCCCATATATGATATGGAAAATAAAAAATGTTTGAAACCACCAACCAGTGATTTATGACAGTGTATGACAGTATGATGTCCTGTACTTGCTGGCCACAAAGCCGCTTGCCACAAGTTTGGCTTCATCTGAAGAAAGGATGTGCACTACCCTTGAATTTTATGGCTGGAAGCCAAACATGGTAAAGAAATGCAAAGAATTATATATATATATATGTATATGGGAAACGCGTTTCCCAAATCGATTTCTTGGGCTTCTACATTTCACTTCAAAGGATTGTTAGACTTAGAACCTCCCTATCATTTCGAGATGATTTTCACCAGCCCGCTATCCTTCCCAGCCTCTCCAATGTGTCACCTTGTCCCGCGGAAGGACCTCCACCACCTTCTTCACGTGATTGCAAGCCTTCCGCGAAAGTCCAACCCTCCAACTGTGGGATGATCCATAAAACTTCCAGCATCGGAGCATCCCAGAGCGAAGCCTCCCATCCCGACCAGACCCTGGCGCCTCTTGAAGCTTGTTACGTTCCCACAGTGCATCCAACAGCAGCAGAATCTTCTTGTCGAAGTCGTTGCGACACAGGACCTGCACTGCAAAAGGACTCCACCCCATGAAGTTCCCGTGTCTATCAAGTATATACTATACATACATTTATGACACAACACGCTATGTTTCTTCTTTCATATTCATATTATATATATATTATCATATATATTCATATATATTCATACATATATATATATATTATTATATACTGTATATTAACAACTTTTGATATCGATATACATCGATATACATATATTTAACTGTCACACTCCCTGGTGTTTATCGACCAAAAATACCACTCTCCCATGGCTCCCAGGCAGTATTTCTAATGAGCTCATCGATGATCTGGCGGTACGGCTTCCTCGCGAATCGTTTTTTCAGCTTGCCATTGATCGTTTGGCTACGGAAAGAACAGGTAAATCATCTAGAAATGGCTTGTGTATGGCTTGTGTTCCATGGTTATGTTGAATATTGTTGAATTACCGGAGGCTGTGTTTGTCTTGTCTTTAATTACCTATCTACATCCATATTAGAGACCCTCACCGCCCACTTCATCATGAATTCCAGCAAACATTTACACAAATCAGCTTACCAAACATAGCAAAAGCAGAACATATCAGGATATGAATCATCACAGCAAAAGCACAGCAAAAGCAGAACAAACAAAGCAGAAGTAGAACACAGATTCGAAACAGAAGCAAAATTGAAAGCAAAAGAACCAAGTACAGATGTGTATGTATATATATATATACAATTATAACATATGATTTTTCAGATTGGATTCCCATCACATGTTGTTATTAGGACATTGGTAGGGTTGTTGAGGTCACAAACCACTGGGGAGAAGCAGTTTCGGCGTCTGCAAAACTATCCCAACAACAACGGCGTTGATCAACATGTGTTCAGACGCCATGTGCCATGGACATTTGAAAACATTTCAAATACATCATATATACACACACATATATATATATATATACGTATATATATATATCATAAGCAAAACGCCAAATGGACATCATTTATGCTAATTCCGTCCATCAACATCCTTGAACATCTCCCTGATTGCAAGTGACTGCAGCTTTCCAACGCCCTCCTTTTGCTCCCCTGCAGGTAAAGGCCTTTGCTGGCCTCGTCCTAGTCTTCAAACCCCTTAACCCCAAAGAACATTGGCAGCGGCATGTTTGCGCGCACCAACTCTGTCAAAGGAGACGATGCATCAAGATCATGACTCTCCTGATATTCCCTCTCACGCATAGAATGCAGCCTAAGTTCTGGAAAAACGAGGCTGCTGCAGCAAACCAAAGGGTTCTGAGGCCCATCCGTGTGGCTTTCAACCCACACATACACCCAGATCCAAGGGGCGTCACCGTCTGGAAGATAATGGTGAGCATCAATTGTACATTCAATCCGGCAGCCTTTGACAGCAAGCCGTGCGATCTGATCTCCGAAGCAAACGTTGTCGTTTCCATCTAGCGAGAAAAGGCGTGCCGTGCCGGCTGCATCAAATAAACACTTGTTGAAGGCTACATGGCCATCCACTGTGTCAGCTGCTAGTGCCTTGGCAGCTTTGACAAAGGCCAGCACATCCGATGTGTCTTGGAACTCGCTTTCGCAGAAAAGGGTCACCTTGGGAAGTTTCTTGAGGTCTCCCAAGCCAAGATATCTCCAAAGCCCCGAGGAAGACCAAGGACCCGGTGCGTGCTCCCAGGGACCACACCCGATGGGTCTGCATTCTTCCACAGCAATTTTCAAGGAACGGGCAACCGCTGCAAGGTCCAAGACGGACACATCGGATGAAAAATCCAGCACCTGCACTAAGAGCCCTGGATGGAGGTCATGTAGACATGGCATGGTGCCGAAGTGTCTAAAAACCGGAACTGCGCAGTTTGTGATGATGGCAGCTGGCAGGTGATTATTGTCATAAATTAAAACTATCTAGATATGTAATCATGTGCATAAGTATATACTGTAATATCATGTATATATATATATGCTGTAATATTATGTGTACATATATATATATATTGTTATTATGTGTATATATATATAATGTCATGTCAGAAGAACAGACTGTAATACTATCTCCGCTATGCGCATCAACATCCAGGACTCAGCATAACTTGGCGCCGCGGAAATCCAGCACAAATGGTCGTCTGAACATGTTGGAAAGGAAACAACATCCAGTGGTTCTAAAGCCTCATGTTCATTGCTTCCAGAAAAAACTTTCCTATTCTTTCACAGCAAAAAAAAAACAGAAGTGGAACCCATCTGGGTATGGGTCAAAATTAGGTACCCCAATAATTGGATGGTTAATACTAAACTAGACATTTCCATCTGTGGTCCCCTAGGTCTTCCATTTTGACCCACATCCATCTCATCATCCCATTCTCCCATGGTCCTAGCAAGTTCCAGGGCACTGGAGTTTTCGCCCTTCTCGTTGGGACCCGAGTCTTTGGATTCATTCTCGTTGCGATACTTGCCGCCGCCCTGGGCAGGACTGGCACCTGGGTCACCTGGGAGCCTGTTTTTTCTGAAAAATAACGGGAATGGCATCTGGGATACTAGTGCAGAAAAAAAAACAGGAGCCTTCCCTGTCATTATCATCTTTAATTCATCTTTACAATGTGGCAATGGAATAATGGAACGTTCACTATTAATGTCAGGGCTGAAAGTTAAACTGTCCACGCACAAAATCCGAATCTACCTAGTCCAACGTCCGCAATGTCCAAAGCCAGAGAGGATCGGTTCTGCTGAGTTCTGCTGATTGCTAACTGTTTCCACATCGAGTAGACATATGATCTCATTAAATCATCTTTCATTCATATCCCATTTAATACTATATCCCATATTACATCCCCCTTAACTGGTAATTTTTTCACATCGCTTTTTTTCACATGGCCCATAGAGGCTGCTCCGACGGCTTGGCCTTCTGGTGCCCGCCCCACCATTGGTTCTGGCGGTGCCATATGTGGGTTTTCCTAGTCTGGTGCCATGCGTGGGTTTAAAAAAACATGTATCTCATGTATGTATAATATAACATTACTTATATATATATATGTATTATCTACATGTATATGTATACACACAATATTGTCTGTATATGCGCGAGACAGGCAACTTCCCCCAAATTTAATGAATTGAATTATGTATCAAATAATCCTTTTAGAGAGTGGAATGTCCGATAATCCCATATGATGTATAGACATACAAAGTGGGGCCCCCTAGATAGCGTTCAGTTGGTTTATAACTCCAATTTTTCTATGATTTATGGTACCTATAACTATAGTTTTCATGGGGTTTATAAACCATCGTTCCATCACTGGGGGGGCCACATTGTAGATAAATAGTTACCCTCTGGTAAACTAACATAACTATGGAGAATCACCATTTTGAATGGGAATCCACTATAAATGGGCCATTTTCAATAGCTATGTTAAATAACCAGAGGGTATACGGTACATCTTCGGTTGATCAATCCTTCCCCCGTTGCTTCGATGCTATGCCGGACCAGCACCTGACTCATGCCATAGCCATGCTGTGGCCACGGTCCCCTCAGCGTCACCGCTATCTTGAAAAAGCCCACAAGAAATGGGTTATTTTTAGCAGCAATAAAGGAGAAAACAGCATAAATCATTTTAAATCATCATAAATCACCATAAACCAATATAAAGCACTATAAAACACCATGACTTTAAGAAAACATAAGAAATTTATGGTTTTTTTTTGGGATCTTTTTTGAATATAGGGATTTACTGGGAAGTTTATGCCAATCGTCTATCTCCATGAAGTTCCCACTATATTCCCACCATATAGGGGTTATGGGCACCCATGAACCCTTCAACCTCGCCATTAAGGTCCTGACCACCACATCCTACCTGGCCACGTGGGTAAAAAGCTGGAAGCATATGGAAAGCCACCAAAAGCCTAGGGAAATACCCCCAAAATCAGCTTTCCAGCTTCTCCGTGTCTCTGTTCAAAAGATCTCAAATGATCAGGGTTCAGATAAGGGGGGAGGAGTTGTGCAGATGGTTTTGGTAGATACAGAGCGGAATGCACAGGGTGCACAACTACAAAATGCAAGTGCATGTACTTTTTTTTCAGCTACAAAATGAAGAACATAACTCTTTCTGGCTCGGAAAATCCGCCGACCCCAGACGATGGCAGGGGGAGCGCGTCCGAGGAGCACCTAGGCGATGGCGGCCCAGCAGCATGTCCTTGGCCACCTGCCGGGCGCTTTCCGGAGATTTTCTTCTTGTTTCAGAAAGCAACGTTAGGCAGTAGGCTGGCCTTAAACGCTTCCCGGCGCCCTAAGCTGCCCTTAAACCCTTCCCGGCGCCCACCTGCCTAGGCGATGGCGGCCCAGCAGCATGTCCTTGGCCACCTGCCGGGCGCTTTCCGGAGATTTTCTTCTGGTTTCAGAAAGCAACGTTAGGCAGTAGGCTGGCCTTAAACGCTTCCCGGCGCCCTAAGCTGCCCTTAAACCCTTCCCGGCGCCCACCTGCCGGGCGCTTTCCTGGAGATTTTCTTCTGGTTTCAGAAAGCAACGTTAGGCAGTAGGCTGGCCTTAAAGGCTTCCCGGCGCCCGAAGCTGCCCTTAAACCCTTCCCGGCGCCCTTGGCGGCCCAGCAGCATGTCCTTTGGCCACCTGCCGGGCGCTTTCCTGGAGATTTTCTTCTGGTTTCAGAAAGCAACGTTAGGCAGTAGGCTGGCCTTAAAGGCTTCCCGGCGCCCTAAGCTGCCCTTCAACCCTTCCCGGCGCCCTTGGCGGCCCAGCAGCATGTCCTTTGACCACCTGCCGGGCGCTTTCCTGGAGATTTTCTTCTGGTTTCAGAAAGCAACGTTAGGCAGTAGGCTGGCCTTAAACGCTTCCCGGCGCCCTAAGCTGCCCTTAAACCCTTCCCTGCGCCCTTGGCGGCCCAGCAGCATGTCCTTTGGCCACCTGCCGGGCGCTTTCCTGGAGATTTTCTTCTGGTTTCAGAAAGCAACGTTAGGCACTAGGCTGCCCTTAAACGTCTTAAATGTCTTAAACGTGTCCCGGCGCCCTAGGCTGCCCTTAAACCTTTTTCCCGGCGCCCTTGGCGGCCCAGCAGCATGTCCTTTGGCCACCTGCCGGGCGCTTTCCTGGAGATTTTCTTCTGGTTGCAGAAAGCAACGTTAGGCACTAGGCTGCCCTTAAACGTCTTAAACGTCTTAAACGTGTCCGTGTCCCGGCGCCCTAGGCTGCCCTTAAACCTTTTTCCCGGCGCCCTTGGCGGCCCAGCAGCCTGTCCTTTGGCCACCTGCCGGGCGCTTTCCTGGAGATTTTCTTCTGGTTTCAGAAAGCAACGTTAGGCACTAGGCTGCCCTTAAACGTCTTAAACGTGTCCCGGCGCCCTAGGCTGCCCTTAAACCTTTTTCCCGGCGCCCTTGGCGGCCCAGCAGCCTGTCCTTTGGCCACCTGCCGGGCGCTTTCCTGGAGATTTTCTTCTGGTTTCAGAAAGCAACGTTAGGCAGTAGGCTGGCCTTAAAGGCTTCCCGGCGCCCTAAGCTGCCCTTCAACCCTTCCCGGCGCCCTTGGCGGCCCAGCAGCATGTCCTTTGGCCACCTGCCGGGCGTCCATGCTTGGATTTTTGGGACCAACTGTCGACTCTCATGGGAATTTTATGCTTTCATGGTGTTAATAGGTTATTATATGGTTTTCATCGGTGTTAATAGGTTATTCTAGTAGGTGCCATGGCCCGGTGATGTCACCTGCTGCTGACTGGAAAAGCAGGTTGGAACTATGGTAAAATGCTCCATGGTGCTGGTATATTTACCACCACAACTGGGTGATTTGTTTGGGTAAAAATTGGTAAACCTTCCACTTGCCGTCTGGTCAACTATGACATCACTATGGACAACCATTTTTAAGAGGGAAATCAACTATAAATAGCCATTTTCAATCGCTATGTTAGCCATTACCAGAGGGTACATCAGTTGGGCTAACTTACTGGTGCTAAACGTAGGGAATGGATGGGAATGGATGGGTTGCTGGGGGTTGCTGGGCTGATTATTACTAGTGATTGTGGATCATTCCCTGACTCGTTCCCTGCGTTTCGCACCGGTAAGATCATAGCAAATGATCATGATTTTTTTTAGACGAACTTGTAACATCTTATGATCCTACTTGGGGTGTGACGTTACAAATGTAACCATGGGTTATAAACCACAAGTTGGAATATAAGGCATATTAATGACTATGGCTATGATTTGTCTAAGTTCTCCGAAACCGCACTTACAACTAAGTGGGATTTAGGGAAGAACTGTCACCGCCGAGATAGGGACTAGGATGGACCGACATTTTGGACCAAGTGAACCAAGTTGACGGCCATTTGCCATCTTTCTGCGTATGTTCATGATTCATCCCCAAAACTCAGGTTCCGTTCCTCTTGAGGTTCCGCCTTTTTTTTTCTATCCAAAGATTCCCCCATGTTCCAATTGGATCCAGCTCACCTGGAAACCATTTTGAGCCTCCAAACTTCGAACGTCTCAAAGAGGGAGCTCTACACGACAGGTATCGCAGCATCCGCTGTTGCGAGCGATTGGAGCCGAGGAGGCGTTAATTATTGATCATTATTCACCATCAACAAGCAATAACCATCATTAACCATAACCCATTAAACAAATGTAACCCATGGATGGTCTCTCATTGATATATATAGTTGATGCTTGGTGGCGACTGGAATAGATGGCTATCTTCGCTCCACCATCGGGGGATCACCGTCATGGTTGGATAAAGCCCCAGGCATAAAACCACAGTCTACACTCTACACTTGACACTCTTCACACTCACCCTCTACACTCCACACTTAATCCTCCACACTTTCCACTCTACACTCTACGCTTTACCCACTGCACACTCCACACTCCGCACTTTACACTCCACGCTCCTCACTCTGCACCCCACACGCTACCAGGGGTCGGCGGCAGGGGGCGGCAGCCCTTTAATAATTCAAAACCAGTACTACAAAATCCAATGCATCTGAAGTCAAAAAAATAGCTGAACGTCGGAATTTCTAACATGATTTTTCCCAATGACATTTTGTAGTTGGGTCTTTGCCATCCAAAGTTCCGACCAACATAAATTCGGAGAACATTTTGTAGTTGTCAATGATTGAATTTAGTTGGATCAAGTGTTGACCCCGCGCAGTTTGTTAGATGGCATTCTGTAGCTTCATGATCTGTTTGTGTCCATGCTAATGAAAATTTATGTTGGATGCTTCAACTGACTCAACATATACAACTACAAAATGAAAATGCATGCAACTACAAAATGATTCCAAATACAAAATGGGGGGCACAACCCCTCCTGTTTGTACAAAAAAATGCTGGCTGGCAATCTGTACTGTAGCCCAAGTCCTCCCCATTTCGTAGCTGAAATTTGAAGGAGGATCTCAAATGTATTCAGCTGGCACCCGAACCAATTAGCTGAGCCATCGAGATTCAAAAGCCCTCAAAACTCGAACAACTGGGTGTACTTCAAAATCGATGGTTTGTTTATGATTGGCTTGCCCAACAGTAGCTTCCAGGATCTTCGAGGTTTCCAAGGTTCGGAAAAGCGGTTTTTGGGACCACCAGGCCTTGTTTGAAAAGTGGCCGGGTCCGAACCCGGCAAGGTCTATGCGAAACAACGACCCAGAGCAGGTCACAAGCTTCACAATCTTGCTGTGTTTGATGCTGAAAACTGCAGCACGAAACAGGATGTGTCGACATGTCAAACTGCACTCGCGAGAATGATTTCTTGACCACAACCACTCAAATCAATCAAATCGATTAGCTCCAGGATAATACTTTTAATCGGAAACCACGTTTTTTCCTCCACATACATCAAGTAAGGGATTCCTGAAATAGTCCCTTCAACCAATGAGAACCAAGATGGAAACTTATCAACAGTTCTGGATTTCACCATGCTTTCGCCACGGACTCCTTGTACCCTGGCAACCCGCGCATCTTGAAGACAACTTATTTTGGGAATTATCAGAAAATGGGTATGCCACCAACAAAAATGCTAAAAAAGCTGAAACTACGGAAAAACATCATGACTAATTATGATAGTTGTTCTATTTTGTAAGATTTTTGGGTAGCCTGTTTTCAGAGAAACCCAAATATGCCTTTGTGTGTATGCAATGCTTACCCATATGGTTGCGGGGAGGCATATGGTCGGCAGCCCACATCTCCACCACGATTTCTGCGCAGCTTCGGTAAAAAACTTTGCCGCCACAGTTGTCGAACTCCAGGTGTGAACGAAACCCACTGCCGTGAAATAGCTGATTCTTCAATTGGTTTGAAAGGCAACATATTACAGACGTCACCTTTTGTCAATTGAAAATGCGGATTGATAATGATTGATATGGATTTCCTGCAAGTGTTCCTTTCATCCAATTCTGTGACTGATACAATGGGAAGCAAAAAGAAGGAACAGTTATTGCGGATTTCACACACTATACAAATCTATATAAATCATTTCAAGAGCAGGGGGGGTTAAGCAAAAATATATAGGGATTTACCACCCAATCACTGGTTGGCAATTGACCCACCCATCCCCATGTAATTCACCAAGTGACTCATCAGTCATCTGATTGGTACTCTCCGGCAATTGTAACATATTGAACATGTTCCATAGATGATTTACCTAGTTAATCCTATTTACCTATATTGTATCTTAAAGATGGTGATTTTCCATAGCCATGTTAAATTACCAGAAGGTAATATTGAAACAACCAACCAAATCATTTCCTTCCTGAATTTTCCTTGGTGATACACCAAGAGCCCTAATGCCACTGTGAGCAGCTTCCCCGCATCGAATTGTGCAAGTCACAGCCTTCGGATGGCCCCTGCAACCACTTCGGGAGAAGTTAGAGGTAGTTATGACCACATTCGGTAGATGAATCTAATGCTGATGGGTATGCTCAGTCCGACTTGTTAGTCCTCAAGAACCCACCATTTGAGCTCAAATGATGATCTACGGAAAAACAATACAAAAAACATGTAGAAAAAAAGGTCAATTGGAGGTTTCCCAAGCCATGAAAACTGTACTTGGGGATCCATCATGAGTCAAAAAAAAACCAAAGGCTGCGGCCCCGATCCCCATCAGTTCTCCGGGAGCAGCTCCAGAGATGTATCACAAACCACGTACCTGAGATGTACAGCAACCAGCAAAAAACATCAAAAAACGATGGTTATTTTAATGTACATAGCGAACTGGAAACTATGGCCCCAAAAAAACTCATGATTCAAATGATAATTTAGCATGATTTACCTAGAGAAGGTGATCTTTCCAGTTTGCCATGTTAAATAACCAAAGGGTAGAATGTTGATATCAGAACTCCCTGAGTCAGACCCTTGTTGTTTTCATTCGCACATTGATTGCATGGTAGCATCGTCGTTGACTTTGTAGTTCTTATCCCTGGCTTTGGTGTCGAAATTGCCTAGTTATGCTTTGGCAAAACCCTGGTTTACTGTTATTTACTGTAAACTAATTCTTGATTTTATTCTTGTATGGGTCAATGCGGTAAACCCGATAAATACAACAAAAACATGTCCAAAAGTTGTTTATAATTGGATTTACCATGGTTTACCACATTATTGGTATATTTTGATACAGGTCCCACTTTGGTGAAGTGCACACTTCTGTAGCATCAAAATTTTAAGTCCGCTTCAGTTCCCATCTTTGTCGTCGCACGAGCCAAAGACGGTGGTATCCGGTCCATCCTGGGCTCCGGAAGTAGAATTGGAGAATGAATTGCTGGACTGGTGTTTAATTGGATTTACCCTCTGGTCGTTTGATGTTCCTCTGATAAATCACCATTTTTGGTAGGTAAACCATCATAAATCATCTATAAATGGGCCATTTTCCATAGCTATGTTAAATAACCAGAAGGTATTTTGGATCATCAGTTATCGGATAGAATAATAAAAACGCCTTTGGGTAGCTAATCACATTTCATATCGGTTTGAATCAAGTTGGAGAATCCAGCCATTGATCATTCCTAGAATGCACTTGGTCGAAATGTCATGAAAGGATTTATCCTCAGCCAATTGTCAAATGTATAATTGGCGGTTTTGCGCAATTGTTGATATCTATCTATCTATCTATCTATTCTAATCTAATCTAATCTAATCTAATCTAATCTATCTATCTATCTATCTATCTATTGTTGACATCTATCTATCTATCTATTGTTGATATCTATCTATCTATCTATCTATCTATCTATCTATCTATCTATCTATCTATTGTTGATATCTATCTAATCTAATCTAATCTAATCTAATCTAATCTATCTATCTATCTATCTATCTATATCTCTATATCTATCTCTATCTCCAAATCTATCTATCTCTACCTATCTATCTACCTATCTATCTGTCTACCTATCTATCTAGCTTTCTATCTATTTATCTATCTATCTATGTGTACATATACATATCATTGACTTCGCAGGGCTCCCCGTTTTTTAGGAGCATGGATGCCCATAGCTCTGAAGAGCTCCCCCCCTTTCCACCATGTGCCATGACCAAGTTAGATGGTACGGTATATGTTTCATGTTCATCATGAATGGGATTTTTCCACGGATAAAAAAAATATGAACATAGGATTGATGAACATCCCCCAATCTGAGTTTATATACAAATATATATATATATATGTATTCATATACAATCCAACTGTTGACTATGTTGCATTTGATAGTCAAATATCTCAATTGATAGTTAAACATCAGCCATTGTTTTTCTTTCCACGAGTTAACCATTAGTTAACATCAACCATTGGTTCACCCCCTGAGCTTCGCACGTGGCGATACACGGCCATCGAGTTGCCTTGTGGCTTGAGACACGTATTTTCTCTGGTTTAAAGTTTAACCACTATTTCTGAAACAAATCTCCATTTTTGTAGAGGTTTAACCATATTTCTGTCAAAGGCTAGAACCATAATTGTTTGTGGCTTACCAAATCTTTTGTAGGTTCAAAAACATGTCAATTCCACCAGTTCTTCCATGCCAACTTTAGGTGGCAAAATCTGAGGCGGTGCACTCAGTTCCTGCATCCGGGGCTTGGACAAATCCTGAGGCTGGGAGAAATCCTGCAGAAATATATAGCAGCTAATAGATGATAATAGTCAATGGGATGATAGTAAATATGATAGTAACTATCTATTTAACAATCTATTAAATATAATATTAACTATCTATTAACTATCATCCTGAGCTTGGTAACCAATGGACAATTAATGGATAGTTAATGGATAAATACTGGACTTTTGGTGGATGATGATTTAGTTAATGGATGGTATTTCAATGATTGTGGGAATATTATGGGAATAACTTGGGGATAATTTATGGATTATTAGTGGATTTTATGGCTATGACATGAGTCAAAACAATGGTATTCTAGGTACCTTCGAATAGCTGGTTAATGGATGTGAATAAACCCCCAGTCATATGGTAATAGTAATTTTGACCCAAGTTAATGGGTGATACTTCTGGGATTATATATAGATGGACACATATAATATCATATAATATATAGTAGTTGTTACCATGTAACTATGATAGATTTAAAACAATTAGTTGCTGTCTGAAAACATGGTATCCATAAAGGCTTCATATCCATGCATGGAAAGACCAATGTTTCACCCAAGAGGTGAAACACATCAAATCATCTAATCATGCTGGGTTTGTATGAAATAGGGCACCCCATTCTATCCAATGATGTACCATGATTTTCCCTACATGTTCAAACATACCCCAAAAAACATAAATATGGCTGGGCTGGGTGTATAATCTGTCACCTCCTCATCAAACTCCTATTATTCCATGAGATGCTTAGGTGCATCCATTCTCCATTGTAGGAATTGCGCAGATATATCCTTTCAGACATAAATCAGAATTACAAATTCTTCTAAATCGTCACTTTTGTTAGACAAATTCCCATGTTTTCCTACGTTTTTCACACTTTTTCCATTTTTTAACGCATTTTTTCCCGGTAAAAGCCCCGGTTCCCTCCAGACGCGCCTCCCTCAAAGCATCCAGGCGCTTCTGGGCCCGCGCCCGCGCGGCGCTGTCACCCACAACTCAGGCCGCGGTCGAAAATCTGGGGATTTGGGAACTGAAGATGTATTCTGCAGACCAGAGTGCTATTGAAAATGGCCCATAGAAATAGTTGATTTACCGAACTTAAAGATGGTGATGTTGCATAGTTATGTTAGTTTACCAGAGGGTATATATATGATTGTGATTATTATTATTATTGTTAATAGTTGATATTAATATTATAATATGGCAAACATAACATACTGTTTGTTTTTCCTCATGGCACTCAGAGACCGTGACGGTCGCGGCCATTGCACGTTTTTCCGATTGTTTTTCCACCAGATCAGATCATCCAGCGAAATCATGCTGAACGTTTTCCAGGCATCATGAAACCCCCGCACCCAAAGGGTGCATCTTACTAAGCCATATGGTTCTGACACCAGAATTTGTGGATGCTGGTAAATCATGGTAAATCGTGAGCCAAAGTGAAGAAATTAGATTCGATGGACTGATTCTATACTGGCTGATCATCCCCGCTACATCTGGTATACCCTCCAGTAAACTGTTATAGATTTGGAAAACCAATAATGTGTCAATATGTGTCAATCATTTTTCCGGGAAACTCACACCTTTCCATAAGTTTACCGTTGGTCCAACAAAAATCCTCGGCCGGATCTGGATGGATCTGGCCACGTTCCCCTGAGCCCCCAGGCCATCTTCGGCTGTTTCCCCAAGGAGGCCCGAAAACTGGCAGAGAGGGCCGAAACGTTGATTTACGGGTGGTCCATATCAAGTTGGTTTTCGATTATTTAAATGGTATATTTACATCATAGTTCCCATCCATTTTCTATTTTGGGGTTGCTATGATTTAACTTAATCATTTTTTTGAACGTTGAAAATCCTGGGACAGAAATGCCCATTACTCACAACAACCTCCGGTTGATGGTAATTGCAAAGCTGGGTGCGGTGGACCTCTGACGTGTTTTGGAGGATGGCCAAAATTCAATGGATTGGTTTAAGGGAAAATTTACAGGAAACCATGGTTTTTACCATCAAATATAGGGTTTTCCTGTAAATTTTCCCATCATCCAATTCTATGAATCATAGTAAAACCAGGAAAAAAACATGAAAAAGTGCGATGCCGTTGGCGCAATTTCATCCATAAACCAAACGGCCATGTTATCTTCCCATTTGTGGTCACTATTTTCGATAGTGGCATTCCCTTGAAACACCATTTTTTTGGGACAGGATATATGTGGCATTCCTCCATCAATTGACCAGTGGTTTTAGCCAATTTCAGCGGGTTGAATCCCCCGGTTGTGATGACATGTCCCCTTCGTCGGAAATCCACATGATTGTTGGGTAAAAAATCCCGGATTTCCGTTGGACACCCCATTTTGGTTGTGTTGAAATCCCAATCTTAAAAAAAATCGGAAGAACAACAAAAAAAACTGTGAAAATCTAATTTGTTCCAAATTGTGGATTTGTTGGTTGCCAATTTGTTCCGGTTTGTTTTTATTCATTTCCCCGGGTTTCATCCCTTCTCCTCCCACTTTTTGCACCTCATCAGCCACAAAGACCCACAGAAGGTGTTCATCCTGCAAACTAGCGTGTTTTCTTAGGCCAAAAATGCGCAGGAAATCTGCTACATCTGTGTATGTATGTATATCTATAGTTTCATTTATGTGTTTGTATTATCAATTTAGTTATATATCTATTTATAAATATATGTATGAGTGTGTTTGTAGCTATCTATCTATCGATCCATCTATCTTTCCATCTGTAGATTGATATCTAGCTCTATCTCCATATCTGTACTGTAGGTCTATAGCTGCATCTACATCTACATCGATATTATTTATATCTATATTTACATAAATATGCGCATCATGCATGTATACAGAGTTGCTGCAATGTACAGAGAGAGACTTAGAAAAAATCTGTTGATGTTAATCTGTACATTAACTATCTAAGACATTAATCTACAATTTCAGTTTAATGTCATGAAATATCAAAGTGTGGATGAAAATTGTGCAGATTCGAGCACTGCGCAGCCCACGGCGAGAACGACCTTGCCTGTTGCAAGGCCAGCTTGAAGCGGAACTGAAGCCTGGAGGTGCTGCTGTTGGAGTTCTCAGTGGTTTGATGGGTGTCTTGAGGTACAACCAAGGCTGGAAGAAGCACCAACAATCATGAGAAAAAAGGGGACATCAACCCGAAAAGAATATGCCCAACATTCAAAGAACATCTTTGACCACCACTTATCCATATTTATCGGTTTGTGTTTTGGCCAACAGATTTGGTCCCCAGAATTTCAAGATACGACTTAAGGGGCTTGTAGATTTCAGTTCATCTCTACCTTTCAACAATTTCAACAAGTCATTTTCTGGAAACTCTTGGAAACAACATCTCCGTACAAGTGGAAACATGTTTGTTGAAAGCCACATCTTTTTCGTACGAACATCCCGAACATCGGATCAACAAGGCATCGGTCTCGGGCCTGAACAGCCAATGTCCACAGGGCCATACCTGTCCCGCGGCTGGCCGGGCTAAAGTAGGTCGGAGTTTCGTGTTTTTCGGTTATCATCCATCCCCCTACTGTTGAATAGCCATCAAAATTGTGGATGAAAGGGGAAGGGTACTTAGCATCATGTGCTATTGCCTATTTAAAATTGAATACGTTTAACTTATTAACCCTACTTGCTGGATAAACCATCCTGAAATGGGATGAAATTGTGATATATAGCCAATTTATGCAAACATTTCTAGCTTGATTGTAAATGCCCCCCATTGGCTGGGCCGCCATGATGAACAGGGCCGGTACTAAACCAGGAGATTCTGGGATGCTATATCTTGGGGGTTTGAGGCAACCTTGCCAGAACCCCAAAGATTTGTCTGGGAACAACACGTCGTTTTGTTGTACTTCAGTGTGCATTGCAGTTAACAAGTGGCTTATAACCATATGAAATAACCCAGTCACTTTAAAGAAATATTCATATTACAAAAGCGGCCCAGTTGGATGAATATTGCTTGCAACAGCTATACATAGATAATAATTATCCACCCAAATGAAATAGCAACCAAATATAATAATCATATATATATATATTACACATATATACATACACGTATATATATATATATATATATGTGTAATAAATACATATATTATATATATATATTATATATATAACAGATGATTGCTCGTGCGTATATACGCGCCTTTCTCTGTCGCTTCACCGCACGAACGTGTTGATCCGGTGCTGCAAAGGTCTCGGGAGAGGAGGTTCAAGGCCAGTCTCCCAACTTGGTATCTGTTCTTTAAGAGAAGTTTTAAGCAACCAAAAAGGGGATTTAACCAACAGAAATCGGGACGTTACCGAGGTTACCGAAATTGGCCGATGGGTACAGTTAATCACAAGGTGGATTGCACCAACAAAATACTCAGTTTTAAAATGCCTTACCCTCTGGTAAAGTAACATAGCTATGGAAAATCACCATTTTTAATGGGAAAATCCACTATAAATGGCCATTTTCAATAGCTTTTTGTATGTTTACCGGAGGGTACACCAAACATGGCGAGATATTCTCAAAATGGCGAGTCATAGCCCACCAAACCATTGGATCGACTCACCAGCCAAAGAAACCAGGTTGATGTCCCTCAATGTCTGGGTTCACAATTGGGTCTTCATCATTTCCCCGTAAAAATTGCAGGAAATTTACAGGAAGCCACTGGAGGGGTGCTGTAGATGTTCAATTGACCTTCAACCAATTTTCCTGGAAAGCTGGGTTATACCCCATGTTTATGGAAAATTCGATATATCATGATATATCATGATATATCATGATATATATATATATATACACCTATATTACCCATTATATATATAATATAATTAAACTGGCCATTAAATTGTGAGGCTTCTTTCAAATCCGGTTCCGTCCGAATCTGAAGCTCCCGAGCGTGGCCACAACAACAGCAGCGTGTGGCCACCAGACTTTGAGCCTGAGATTGTGCCGATGCCAGGAGGTCCATAAACAATGGATGAGCAAATCATTCTCCAGGTTTCACTGGGGATGATAGTTTTATATGAGGTTTATTTTTGCTGATGTTTATACAGATAGTTTCATGATAGTTTTATGGTCTTATGGATTAATCATGATTTCAAAAGTGGTTCATGCCATATGGGTTTCTCTGGAAATGGGATGCCCCTACTATTTTGATGGCCAGTTGGGTACCAACAACTCCTGTGCATGGGGAGTTGCTGGGTTAAACCCATCCCACAATGTCGTACAACTTACAACAGCTGGTTGGATGTTGCGACGTTTCCCAAATATTATGAGGTACACATGACATGTATACACGTAATATACCCTCTGGCAATTTAACATAGCTATTGAAAATTGCCATTTATAGTGGATTTACCTATTGAAAATGGTGATTTTCCATAGCTATGTTAGTTTACCAGAGGGTACACGTAATATACATATACAACTGCGTACATTCTTGTGTTTCTTTTGAACTGCAGCTCCCTGTCCTCTCCCCATCCAAGAGACACTAGTAGCATCGGCGCCACTCACGTCGCAGATCCTGCAGTGAATCATCCGTACAAGGCTGGGAATGAAAATGGGCATTCCCGTAAATGCATGAAAATGCTAGCTTTCATGAGAAAATGGCGATTCATGATGATTCACCATTTAAAAATCGGAGGCATATTCTCAGACAAAACTATTTGCATCAGCCAAGACGAGAAGCGAAGAGATTGGTCCAGAATTTTGTGATGAGTTCACCACAAGAAAATACAAATTGGATCAACAAAGATCAGAGATGGTTTCAACCAGGGAGGGTTTACTATCCAAAAGTGTGCCACGTGTTTTCCCAACATATGATAGCGTAACAAGTTTAGGGCTTGCAATCGGTTGCAACCTCTCTCTCTCTGTCTATGCAAACAGAACCCAGGGACCCAGGTTTCGGCTTCACGCGGGATAAGCTATGCCAATTTTAGCTACCAGGAATGACTTCTACCAGCCATTGGGATCAACTTGGATGATCATCCCACTTCGAAAAAAAATATCTGATAGTAATTAATCCCATCGTCCCAATATAAAAAAACACCCCCCGGAAACGGCCAGAAATACACATTTCCGGCACCACAAAAAAGGGTGTTTCATATGAATAGGTGGGATTAAGTTGTGAATTTCCTGGGCCAGCCTTACTGTCAAAGGGATTTTCCTTATGCCCAGACTTCGGTTGCACAGGAAGCTTCACAGGTCTTTTACACGATACTTGTCTGGCAAATCCAGATTTCGGCATGTTTTTCTAGGTTTTCCTCTTAATTCAAAACCAATTCAATAGACATTGGAATCATCGTCCCATTCATAGGAGTTACTTGGGATCACAAAATGAAAAGAAGAGACATGAAGAGACTAATTTGCTCAGGGTGATGGTTTGCATCCCCAAACATATCAACGTCGATTGGACATCACCATTCCATTTTTACAGGTGTCCATACCCCCGTGGTTGAGTAAAGCATCATCCAAGACTACACCCATCCAGTGTCATAGTAATACCTTCAGTAGATCACTATATGGTATCCCATGATATCCCCATTTCTGATGTGTCAAATCCCTAGTCACTTGCTACAAAATGGAGTAAAATCCATGGCTTTTTCCATGATCTTCCCACAGTTTTCCCATGGCTTTCCGATATGCCTCGCCACCGTGAAATTCGATAGGACCATACACCTGCACCAAACGGCCACAGCTGACGATGGCCAATCCATACCCTTGACACAGCTGGCAGCGGTACTCCAACACGGCAGTGGGGAAATCCCTAGGACATGAAGGCTTGCAGATTAAAAATCATCGAACTAAACGGGCAATTTTCCAGCTACTAAGCTACTAGTTTTTTTGGTGATTTTCGGAGGGTGGCCCTGGCCCATTGTTGGAGAATATGATTCATATATATATTCATATTTCAAATTGGAGATGATATCCTCAAGAAATATGGAGATGATAGAGATGATAGCCCATTGTTTGGTCATCCGAATATGATATCCTCAAGATGAAGTTTGACCGTCCGAATGACAAAATTGCCGTCCGAGCTCGCTTTGGTGAATTCGGATCTCCCAGGGTGGCAATGGCAACGTTTGAAAAATAGGATGCAAGAGTGAAAAAATTGTGGGTCCAAAAAAACGATACAGTACTTGAAACCACAACTCAGTGTCAGTGTCAGTGGTTAAATCCCTTTTTTGGATCCTTTTCGTTGGTTATCTCATCATGTATGGTTGTAGCCCGGGGCCTCTCTCCCCTAGCGGCTGCGTCGTGCACGTCTGCAAGCCTTGCGCCGGGGTCTTCAATGCTACAATTGACGGATGTATATAGAATGGAGGTACGATTGATGGATATAAATTGAACAGAATTGATTCAACAATCGATATGATACAATTGATAGAATGGGGATTTCAGGGCCCCCAAGTGGGTGGAAAAAAAACTCTCTGGCAATCTAAATTGGCAGGCTGGAAAATCTTACCTCAAAAAATGATGCGTCCATATGCGTCCCTGTACCACCTTCCCGGATTGGCCTGATGGGTAGGATGGTGTTGACATAGATCTGAGGACGGGATGCTGTGCCCCGGGCCCCGAATTTTAACTTTGGACACTCCAAATTGAGTCTATATATTTCCACATGATGTTGTTTGACTGCAATGGTTCTGTACCATTCATTACCACTCTCCAATGTTACCACATAAAATGATCATGACGTTCAGAGAGAATCATCCAAACTCATCTGGTTGGTGGTTGACCTACCCTTCTGAAAAATATGACTTCGTCAGTTGGGGTTATGACATTCCCAACTGAATGGAAAGTCACAAAAACCATGTTCCATTATTGATTTTTATATCCCATTATATCCCATTAAAAACACCATTATATCCCATGATTCCCAATATATGGGAAGTCATAAAAACCATGTTCCAAACCACCAACCAGTCATGTTTGCCAACAATGGAAATGGAACTTCAGTGACTAGTGGAAACGCTTCAGTATTGAACCCGTCCTCACTGCTACTAACCACCATTGGTTCTATGTGCGGGGAGATGATATAGTAACAATCCATAGTCGGGGTACGATCTTACACCCAGATAACCGATGGTTTTGTTGTACCATCATTTGTTGTTTCAATTCCTAAATTGTGGCAATCTACGTTTGTTAGGTGGGTCAAAGGTCGCACCTGTGTTGGTTGCATCCCTGTTTAAATTGATTAAATACGAACTGCTCACCTCTGTTCTTAAAATCAGGTCTTTCTCGGAACAAAAGGCTGTCTTGCAATTTTAACCCGCACTTAAAACTGGTGAAATTTCATATGTTCCGTATTCAATTCCAATTTTCATGACTTAATCAAACCCCCGCTATATCCCATGAAATTTCATCAAATCCTGTTAAAGTCCCATGTTCATGACTTAAATCATCCATTTTTTCCTGAAAAATTCCCTGTCACCTTCGCCTCCACCCCCCAAACCCCAACAGACGTTCCCCGGCCGTGCTCAGCTGCGTTTTGGGCCGGCCGGTCACGGCGGTCAGGGAAGCTGCAACAGGCGCCTCACTGCGCTCTAGTGTGTAAAAATATATGTTACATTGCATCGACCTGGTAAGTACTATATACTAAATAATTTGTATAATATACTATATATCCTATATATTATATATCCAAAAATACTAAAATATGACTGCACGTGGTAGAATATGGGATTATATATATATATGTGCGTGTGGCATTTTTAACACTATAACAAATATCTACTCCAGGATTAATACATGTTATTATCCAAATAGATGACAAATTATATAATGGACAAGTGTGATACACGTGATATGAGCATAATCATGATCTACTGTTACACATTGTACATAGATACAGGGGATCATGATCATTTAGTATTTTGTTTCTATCATGTCTGACAAATTACTACATAATCTAACAGAAAAAATAACTTCATGTGTATATATATATATGTTATTTATCTATTTATTTATTTAGTTATTTAGTTATTTATTTATTTATCAGATGTCATGTCCCATGTAGTTGTAATCATTATATGGAAAATATTCTACGGTACAAAATTGCATGTGCTATTTCCATCGGATAATGATATTTTACATCCGTGGGAAGGAACTAACTGATAGAGTAGGAAGATAATTTGGAATAACAATGAATAACATACATTATGGATAAACTATTGTTCTAATCAAGTCAAGGGGTTGGCTTTAGGCAAAACCCAATATTTTTTGTTTGGTCACCTCCCCAATTCTGATGGTCCAATCCCAATTTTCCATGGATAAATCACCCATCCCACTGCGGAATCGGCCTCTGGCCGAGCGGCTCGCGGAGTTTCCCGGGCCACCGGAGGTGTCTCCTGGGCGGAAGGGATGACTTTTTTGGGTGGGAAGATATGAAAGTATGTCAAAAATGATGATTTTTATCCCAAGTGGAACTAGACGACGGATGGCCCGCGAGCGTAGAGGAGCATAGCTAATCAGGTAAGTACTATTTTTTACAATGAAAAAATAATGTAAGTATAACCGCAATGCAATAAGAGTGTATTTAATAGGTTTTTATGAAATAAGTGCGTAAGAAAGTATGTTACAAATAGATAAGAAAATACAACCATGATGATGCAAAAGTAGCAACTGGTTATCAGAAATATGAAAGAGGCACGATGTCAAGATGTTAAGGCGCAAACTGAAGAGACACATGTAAACAATTCCACTGACAGAGAACGAAAGGAAGAACCTGTAAAAATTGGAAGGGAGAAACTGTATGAAGGAGCCAGGGTAGTAGAAAGAGAGAGAAGGAAAGAAAAAAAAATGCAAGATGTCAAGGTGGAACACAAACATTTTTACACACAGACGTTTTTACACAGAAACACTTTTAGGCACACACGCCTTTATACACAGTAATTTCTTTCTCGCAGACGTGCAGACGCTTTACACACAGACTTTTTTACAGACAGACGCTTTTACACACAAACACCTTTCAAAAAAAACATCAAAACTCCCGCAAATGCCGATTCATGTGTTTATTTTAATGGATAAACCAGCTGTGATCATCAAACATGTTGGTTTAAGTTCCGAAATTAAAAATGTAATCAACAACCGGAGGGGTATAACCAACAGCTAACGATAGGGGTTGATGATCAATACTGTTTAGGGATATTTAGGGTATGACTCTCTTTGATTCATGACCACCATTTACCTCCACCCTCGCGTCCGGGGTTCAGAAGCATCCTCACATGCTTAAGGAATCAAGCAGTAGATAAAACTAGATGGATGAAAGGGGCATGGACCAGCCACTTGCTGAAGAATCACGCTTTGGAAGCTAAGATTTGGTTCTTCTGATTTTACGTTTTTTTCCGGTCTCTTGCGGGCAGTTTGCCTCGAGGAATTGTGTGTTCTAAACGTTTTCGGTTTTGGTTCTTCCATCCATAAATATAGTTAGATTACAATCAAATTAAGATCCAAGCCCAAAAAACAAAAAAAACTATCAGAACTAAATTAGGGCCTTTTCCTGGCTCAAAATTAGTAAGACTTCGCTTCAATTTCAAAATCAAGCGAAGCCAGGAAAGTAGGAACTAAATGATTGAAAGTTTTCTGATCCTGTTTTGCATATCAAGAGCCGTTGTGAGAAGGGACGGCGCATCCTTGATCACAATTTTTCTAGTGACATTGAGACGTCTGAACGTGCGACCTTTCACAAGATCACCAGGATTGTTGGATTTTCCTGGATAGACCGAGAAGACCTCATTGTCCCCCCACATTCATATGTGGGTGGAGGAAGTCCAGCAACATATACCATGCCCCTATGAATAGAGCCTGGTCGATGCTGGTGAAGAAACCGGCCAGGTCTTGGTTGACCAGAATGAGGTCACCATCGATTGGAGCGGTTTGAAGAATCGTGAGGAGTGTGTAAACATCTCCCGACGCAAAGTGATCAGGGCACGCTACCGGGATAAGCTGGAAAATCATTTTGGCCAGAAAGTGGCTAGCGAAGCGCAAGGCAGAGAAGCAGGACGATCCGGAATATATGCTGATTCAGTACCCAAGAGGACCGATTGTCATTCACAAAGCATTGATGACGCAAGCAGCTGATGTGTTTTCATTTTTGCTGTGGCTGTTTTCGTCCTATCCTGCCGCGCTACTACGGCGACAGTTTCACGCCCAAGTTGTCCGGTTGCTGGCTGAGAGGGCTTGCAAGTTGCAACGGGGTGAGACAATTAATTCGTTACAACAGACAAATTTCCTTTGACCAGGTCACGCATCGCAACGTGGAGAACATGTCCTGTCAAAATACGTGGCATAACAGCATCATTTTCGATCAAGCATTGTGTTTGAATCGGTGCAAGCCCTCTTGGTTCATCCCGACTGCAGTTTACAGCTGCCTCCATGCATGCACGGCCATGGCGTCCTGTCTTGACGTCAATTCGCTCAAGATAATTCATTTGCACGGACATTTTGCTGGTTGAGCGCAAGGGACGTGCTACACAGAGCCAGCTTCCAAGAAAAAAGGCACCAGCTTCTTGAGCCACTATTTGGACTCGGGACTTGCACAGCAAAACAAAACACAAAACAACATTTACACTCAGCATCGCTTTCCAACTCCTGGCTCTCCCACCGCCAAGAGGGCCTGAATCCAGAGGTACTTGTATTAGTGTGGAGGATATGAGAGGTCTGTCTCCTTGAAGTGGTGGACTGCCAAGGGTGGTGTCCAGAAAACACCACTTCCCTCAGCCCGGTGCCCATATGACCACTCTTGGCACCCAATTTGCACGCCCAAACGGAACAAACCGTGGAAAAACGGTCTTCAGAACGCCTCTGCGCAGTTGCAAGCTCTCTTTTTACCGTGCTCGGACGTTCGCTGTCTTAATGAGGGAAGCAGCCCATAAGATCAGGTTAGGTTATTTTTAGCCTTTTAGGTTATAGCGAACCTAAGGCAAAATTTCTAACTATTAGTTAACTTTTTCTAACTTAAATTAGGTTGTATGTTGTTACCTAAAAAATAACCCATTTTTTAGGTAACCTTTTTTCGATCCTTTTTTGGTTAATTTTTGAACCTTTACAAACAAAAAGCATGCCTTTTGTGTTCATATTTTGATGCTTGTTTCATTGCGTCTTTGCCAAAACAGTGCACACGATCTCTTTTCTTCTTTGCTGTGCTTTCTTATGCACCCAATAGATCAGGTTAGACAATTTTCTGCCTAATAGTTAATAGCCAAATAGTTAATAGTCAGTTTCCTAACTATTTAGTTAATAGTCAATTTCCTAATTTCCAATAGTTAATAGTCAATAGCCTATATACATCATGCGATCGATCTCCGTGACTTGAGAAAAGTTCAAAAGGAGATCCCGGAATGAAACGAAAGAGCCAGGTCCTGGGCCCCACTGGTGGCCAGGGTGTTGCACCTGATCGATTTCGATACAACAGCCTCTAGGCATCGGTTCTGCGGTTTGTATTTTAAACGGTTCTACGGTTCATATTATAAACGGTTCCACGGTTCTACTGTTTTATTTTTTGATTTTGTGGCGGTTCGGTTCGGTTGTAGAGGTAAACTTTCCAATAATCGGAGGTTCATATTTTAAGAGCCATACCACTGTAAACTGCCACTTTCCGCCCCGTTGCAGGCGATTGACTTCGAAGATGAAAGCCTCTCAAGAGGTGGTCCTTCTTGGTATCCTTCCTTGCTGCCGTTGTTGGTGGTCCTCCTTGCTGGTACTTCCTTGGTGGTGTTCCCTTGGTGGTCCTCCTTGGCGTTTTTTTTTCCTTGGTGGTTTTCCATGGTGATGTCCTTCCTTGATGGTGTTGGCGCCCTCCTTTGGTGGTGTTCCCTTGGTGGTCACACAGTTTTTCCTTCAAGGTTTGATCTGTTTTACTACGTTTTTTTAGCGGGCTGTAATCCTGATGATGCGGGGGCTGAAGAAATACCTGGCAGAGCTCAATCTCCCACCACATGAAGTAAGCCTACCGCAAATGAGACTGGGATATTCCTTTTGCTTGCTACGGTTGGAAAAGGGGATGCAGCCACAACCTTCCTCCTCAGTCAAAGTTCGGAACTCCTGCATGGAAGAAATCACTTTGGTTTTTCAAGCCCTCAGACTTGCGTTTTGAACAGGACATGTGCGTTTTGAGCGATGAGCTTGCAGTGATTCTGTGGACGCGGCTTAGGTGGCCCTGTGCCAACATCCATCAAAGACATCCGCTTCCTCGCAGGATGCGATGTGAGCAGGTCCAGCACACAGCCAGCCGCCGGCTGTGCTCCCACAAGACGGACAAGCCTCACCTTCTGCCAGCCACTTTCCTCCCACACCTGCTTCTGAGGATGCGGGCAAATAGGATGGGCAGCCCAGCAACTTCGCGAGCTCGGCGTGGCTGAGGTATTGCATATGTCCAGGCGGCTTGGTGTCGAGCCTTGAGTCCGAAGTCTTTGTCGCGAACTCCGGGCTCCAGACCCTGGATCTTGCGGCGCATGGCTCTTAAGCCTCGAGGCGCGCCTCTGCACCTGCGCCTTTGGCTTCCGACGTCAATGACGTAAAGACGGCCTTGGCCTCAACTTGCGCAAGAAACCGACAAGGCAAGCGGGATCACATAGAACATATATGGCTTTATTGGAACTTCAGAGCTAACACTCCGGTGCCGGCGGTTGACGTCGCGAAGCGACCAGAATACCAATTCTGTTTAATGATTCTTTCTGCATTTTTGGATGGCGAAATTCCAGGACTTGATGCTTAAATCCAACGTTTGGTTGTTCAATTCCCATCTATTCGAATTCTTGATACTTAAATTCCATTGTTTGATGTGTAAAATCCGACTCTTTGATGGTTCAGTTCCCATTCAACCCCACAAAACCCCGCTTGTCCTCGTCCTCATCCATTTCAGTGTCGCCACCTGAGCAAATGCAGCCGCCATGTCCGTGTTCGGGCAGTTGGGATATTTGGAGATATTCAATCGACCACAACCACAATGGAGATATAAGAACTCATCATTTTTATGGGGATGTTGCTGGGAAATCTATGCTTATCTCCGTATATCAATTTCCGCAAGATGTGGGATGGCAACACCCTTTATCGTCATCAGAACATGGACAAACTATCGTCTAAACTGGCAATGGTGTTCCCGACTTTGAAACAGCTAACACATGATTCTGCACAAGTTCAGTTTGTGTTTGCAAAACAGGGATTCCCATACTGGATTTTGATAATCCATGATAATCCCATGGCTCATATCCATAGAGGGTAGTATTCCATCAATAAGTTTTTTGGAACTTCCCCAATTTGCGTTGTGAAACTTCCCAAATCTCTCCCAAATTTTGGAGAGGACATCCCCGATGGGCAGACCCATCACGCGAGTGAAATTTCATGCCAAAACCTTCAAATTCCTCAACCTCCGAAAAGCCCTCCAAATCCCACGGTGTCTTTCAATTCTTTCTCAGATTCATCCAAATCCAAATCTCAGAAAAAAATATACTAAATCCCGCATGAATACTCCACTCATATCCCATCGTATCCACTTCAAACACAACGGCTCGTGAACGCTTCGGCTCCGTAGCTCCGTGGCTCCCGGCTGCTTCGGCTTTCCCTTGGCGCCTGGACAAAAGGCATTGGCGCTTCGGCCTTTTCATGGAAATTTTAGGCCACTTTTTGGTATGTTGAAACCTTTTCAAACCTCTTGAAACCTTTTGATACCTATTGAAACCTCTTGAAACCTTTTTTTATACCTATTGAAACCTATTGAAACTTGTTGAAACCTATTGAAACATAGTGAAAGCTATTTGAACCTTTTGAAACCCCTTGAAACCTCTTGAACCCACCTGAACAGGGTAAGACCTATTGAATCCTCTTGAAACCTCTATTGGAACCTATTGAAAACTTTTGAAACCTATTGAACCCTTTTGAAACCTCTTGAAACCTTTTGAAATCGCTTGAACCTATTGAAACCTCTTTATACCTATTGGAACCTTTTGAAACATCTCGAAACCATTTGAAAGCTCCTAAAACCTATTGAAACCTTTTGAAACGTACTGAAGCCTATTGAACCCCCTTCAAACATGCTAAAACCTGTTGAAACCTATTGAAACCACCTGAGACATCTTGAAACCTATTGGAACCTTTTGAAACCTATTGAAAAACCTTTGAAACTTGTTGAAACCTACTGAAACCTACTTGAACCTTTCAAACCCATTGAAACTTTTTGAATCCCCTTGAAACCTATTGAAACCTATTAAAACCTGTTGAAACCTCTTGAAACCTTTTGTGCAACTTGTTGAAACCTGTTGAAACCTTGATGCCTATTGAAACCTTGTGAAACCTCTGGAAACTTCTTGAAACGGATTAAAACCTATGGTAACATTTTTTGAAACCTATTGAAACTTATTGAAACCTCTTGCAACCTGCGGTGATTGATCAATCAGAACGAACAAATGAACACGGAAGGGATGCATGTGTGGCTTGCAAAAGCCGCACGGTCACCTGCAGCTGTGCGGTGGGAGCGCGGCCGATGCATGGTACAGTTGGCGTACTTCGAAGAAGAGGACGTCGTTCGGAAACGATCTTCGGAACCAGCTATAAAACAATGGACAAAAGGCACAGCCTCCCCGACCCGGACGGCTGGGGACAACACACGGCTAAGGCTATCTATGTCAAATTCCACGACGCCAGGCATTCGACTGATCCGTGCATCCGCAAAGGTGATGATTTTGGTTTTCGCGGGGGGGTTGGGGGGCTGAAAAACACGACAAAGCAATCATTTCAGCGGATTCTGCACCAGATGGCTTGGAACCCCCTAGTTTAAGGATATATGTTGGCTGTCAAGGTGACCAGGTAGCCTTTGGAAATTGAATTAATTCAAATCGAGAAGTAGACGCTGATGCTAAAATGTATCAGTTGACCGTGTAATCATTGGTGATATGATTCTCGTTTCAGCGTGCAAAGCAAACAGCCTTTGACACCACCATGCCGACATGAGAAGTTTACCTAAAGAGGTGGGTGATAGAGCTGTTTTTACTGTACATTTTCTCTGATGGCTCAGTAGCCAAAATCAGTAACTCAATGAAGGCATCAATATAAAATGTGGAGGAGTGAAAGCTGTGCCAATGGATGCTTGGCAGGGTGAAAATCTCCCAGGAACCCAAGAAACAGGAAAACAAAAAACACAAAAAAATGAGCAACTGACATTGTTGGACTGACAAGGTGGCAAAAACCTCGAGAAAACCAAAAAAACAAACAGTTTCGACCCATGGAGAGGGTCTGAGGAGAAGCTGGACAGGTGACATGGGGTGAAACGTTTTTGTTTTTTTTGTTTTTTCCATGGGTTTTGGGGCATTCTTGGGCCAAAGGGCACAAACCTCGAGAAAATCAAAAAAAACAAAAGTTTCGACCCATGGAGAAGGTCTGAGGAGAAGCTGGACTGGCGACACGGGGTGAAACTTTTTTTGTTTGTTTTTTTTTGTGTTTCCATGAGTTTTGGGGCATTCTTGGGCCAAGGTGGCAAAAACTTCGAGAAAACAAAAAACAAACAAAACAAAAAGTTTCGACCCATGGAGAGGGTCTGAGGAAGTTTTGGTTTTGCCATGGTTTTGGACCAGTTTTTTCTTCTTTCAGAATTTGGAGTGTTTGTATGAGAGTTTGGGATAGATCCAAGCTCCAGGAATGGAAGCAGATCAGCAGACAGGATGATTTTAAGCAGACAGTGCAAAACATGCGCGTTTCTACAATGTGCGCGCCTTCACCCCCCATCATCCTCCCTTCTGTTTGTTCAAATATAAAGTTACATGTAAGTTTAAAAACAGAAAACATACATATAACATACATACATATATATATATATATATACGTATGTAAATATAGAGAGACAGACAGAGAGAGACAGAGAGAGAGAGAGAGAGCAAGATGGCATATCGAAATATAATGGCCGCGACCTTTCAAGTTGCAAAATGCATTTTCTTGGTGACGCAAAGTGCATGGAAATCAGAAGCCCGCCGGACAGCAAAATATTCACCCTGCCTTTCAAAAAAGGACGTGTCCATCAGGCCGCTTCCCTGCTTGCACAGCAGCCAGAAGCAGTGCAGAAATGGTCAGGCATGTAGCTCTTCCAGACCAAGGTTTTGAACACCTTGGTCCGGAAGAGCTTTAATCGGCACAGGTTGCAGAAATTCTTGAGCCAACGCAGCTCAAAGCGCTCCAACCTTCATTCAACCATGCCGCGTGCACATCTGCCCTTTTTCGAACATCCAAACCTCTTGGCTCAGCTAAACCAGGCGGTCAAAAAAATAACAAACTTACCACAAAGTCCGCCGGCTTTCCCTAATTTTATCTCTCTGTCAAGGCTTACCGCCTCTTTCCCTCTTGAAACCTCTTGAAACTTGTTGAAACCTCTTGAAACTTTTTGAAACCTCTTGAAACCTATTGAAACCTCTTGAAACTTTTTGAAACCTCTTGAAACCTCTTGAAACTTTTTGAAACCTCTTGAAACCTATTGAATCCGCTTGAAACCTATTGAGACCTATTATATAAAACCTATTGAAACCTCGTGAAACCTCTTGAAACCTCTTGAAACTTTTTGAAACCTCTTGAAACCTCTTGAAACCTATTGCAACCTATGGTTTTGGGACTCCTCCATTTTAAGAAACTCCCATTGAACATCATGAACTGGAAACAAACCATCCTTAAATTTGCTACCGATCATGTTTATGCAAATCACTACTCCAAATTTATGCAAATGATGGGTTCAACCCCCCATGTTTTGTTGCTTAAAAATAAGAAGTAACCACCCCGTGGATTCGGCGTTTCTAGTTCATTTTCGTTTGGAATAACAAGACATCATCAGCAAATCCAGGTTTCATCACTATTCAACCACTATTTTAAACCACTTTTATAAACCATTATTGCACCACTATGGACCATATTTAACCACTACGTAACCATCACATTCCCATATTTTTGACCATGCTTTTCATCGTGCCTGCGCCCGCGCCGCCCGCGCCAGCGCCCGCTGCTGCGCGGCGGGGGAAGGAGCTGCTGCCTTCCAAGTGTTAGATGTTGAGCCAACCATTTTCCTCCCTTTTTTTAAAAAAGGTGAGAAACAAATGGTGGAAAAGTGGTGGGCAAATGGTGGACAAATAGTGGAATTTTATTAAAATGCTGGAAAAATGGTGGAAAAATCAGGGAACATGTGATTCGCTGGAAAACATGTTGAAACATTGATGGTTAAGTATGGATTCTGCGGGAAAAATTGCGTGACAATAGGATAGCCATAGGATTGAACCATCAACTAATGTGGGTTATAATTGGGATAATGGGAATAATAACGTATATATTTGGGGATGGGTCAATACCTTTTATTAATTAGATTGTACCTAAAAATGTGGAGGATACACATTACCAGGTGAGCACCAGGGGATTCCATAGGTTTTTCGAAGCCATTTATCCATCATTTTTTTATCACATTGACTGGTGAAAAAATGGGATAAAACATGATAAAACATGATAAAAATGGGATAAAACGGAAAATTTCATAGCCATCTTTCCATCTTTCAACAACAAACAGGCTATCGCCATCCTCCTTCGGGCGACCCCACAGCATCCACAGCATCCACAGCATCCACAGCCCCCCCCGACGGCCCGATCTCTCCGGCCCGCGCACCGTGCCACTGGGAGCACTAATAGATGGCCTGTGCGCTGTGGATCATGAGGTATCGATGATTCTGATAGGTATCTTAATTATCAATGGATTTTTTAATAATCATAGGTCAGATGTAATTCTGATAGTCATAGGTAATTCTGATAGTCATTAAATTAATTCTCAATCATTGGTCATGATGTATGATGATGTCATTTAATGATGATGAATATTGATGAATGATGTATGATGCCTGTTCTTTCCCTCCTTGTTCTACACCTTGTTTAGCCAGCCATACTTGGAGGGTCATCCCACTGTCCTTATTCCTTCATATCATGTGCAATTACCCCGCAATCCCATTGTATTCCCATGGTAGGTTCCCAGTTTCACAACTCAATGAGCTGATCCCCAAAGCTTGCCTTGGAGACAGCTGCGCCTGACCAGATGTTGAACCAATGGAAAAGCCTGTTGTAGCTCTTGTTCTATAATTACTCTATATGTTGATTTTCTTCTTCTATACATGTGTATTATGGATACATTTTGAATTTCATCACACACAGTTAAACTTTGGGATTTCACGGCTTGCTGAAAGTCGTGGTAAAGTCCCAGCGGGGTACCTATGGTGGTTCCAGCAAAAAGTGAGAAATGGATAGAAATTGCGGTGGTTTTGATGGTTTTTGCAAACTCATGGAAAGCAGTTTCACTGCTCCAATGTGAGCCCTGCCAAGCATTTCATGGGCTCACATAAAGGGGGGCGTGGCAAAACTTGGCAAAACTGGGGGTCCATCGGATGTCCCCAGTTAGATAACCTGGCGATACACCAATTCCTGCTGAAATCACAAGAGACTCTTCACGAGTTATCTCACTGTGGTAAACCATGGTAAGCCAAGTATCCAACCATCCCCAAGTCATCAAAACATTCCAACAGCCGGATGGTTTTTTGACCATCCCATGACGGGGCCTTGTCCTCGGCCCTATAGGACGCACCCGACTCCTCGATCTGCTGCCTGGCGACTCAAGCTGAAAAGTGGAGCTTGCTGTGGTCAATTACTATGAGATTTATGGTGATCCTATGGTGATATATGGTGGTTAATCAATTTCATATGATACTGGGGGGGCTGGGGGGTCTGAAAATAGTGAATATATCTGTATCTATCCTCAATGTATGGTCACTTCAATGAGGAAATGATGAGTCACCAGCGTAGTTGGGATCCAAATTCTGGTATTTTTGTGGTACCAATTGGTAGGCCAATTACTTCTCCATACGCTTCACTTGGTTTTTTTAAACCCACCCGGAGCAGCATGGTTTCAACTATCGGGATGATGCTCCTGACAATTACATCAATGGCGTTGACCGGAACTGACCAGGCTGTTTTGCCTTTAAACGACATCAATACGTGGTATTCAGAATCGTAGGTCATGGATGATCATGGCTATTTCCCAATGACATCATCCAGATATGGTTTTTTGTTTTTGTTGAATCGCTCCGAAAGGCTAATAGGTAATGACTCATGACCTTTTAATTGCCTAGTTATATATATAATATACGTATATGATGTAAATGTATATCAGTGTATATCCACAATACCCACATTGATCCATGGCTTATTGACCGCTTACTGCAAAACACATCCAAGTAGCTTGGTGGGGTAGTTGAAGGGAAGGTTTGCTGAAGAGATAAACCACATGAAGAAAGCAAACATTGATCAAAGGTTAAAGAAACCGCATGAAATCATCACTGCAAATTCTAAACCTAGAGAATTCCTGAGTTGTAAACTTCGAATGTCAAGTTACCCAATTTCTGGAGGTTGAGAAACTCAATTTTAGGTCTGTAAAACCAATGATAAAACCTGAGCCAGGGATGCTCATGGGATCAACATCATCCTGGATCGCAGATTGTGCCCTTCCATGCCCTGGTGATTGGAGTTTGGGAGATATCTTCTCCCTGATATAAAATAATTACCCTTCTAGAAACATGTTGGGTGCCATTGATGGGGTGGTTATAGTTTATGGGATTTTCAATAGAAGTAGCAAAGATGGATGTCATGTGCCATATATATATATATACTGTATATATGTGTTCATATGTGTTCACACCAAAAGAAACCTCACCTTTTTCCCCAGATGCTGAACCAGGCCGAGGGCCTTCAAACCCCCCTCCCCTTGACCTTCTGACTTGCACATCCAAGCACCACAGCGGCACTTTGGTGATGTGCGCCTGAAGTCAAAACCACTGCCATGTGAACATCAAATTGGCTGGGTCCGATGGGTTAAAAAACAATAAAAAACACACATGTGTTTCAAAATAAGAACATATAATATGGTTGAAGAAACCATGTTCCCCAATTTTTCTTGGCCATAAATTATACAATTGGGGTATCCCCCAGTTTTGGACCCGAACCCAAATGATGCTTCCCTTCTGACATCCATTCATCATGGTAACCATGGGTTCGAGCAACGTTGCAGTCCTCTGGCTAAGAAATGGTGAAACCATGCGGAAGCAGCCATATATGGTCATAGTTCACAAGCCTGAAATAAAATGAGATACATAAGGCGTTCTGGTGGTTTTTAACCTATCCTGAAAATGTCAGTGATCTCAGCCAATCATGCCTGTTGTATGGTTGAAAGACACTAAATATCTGAAACCACCAACCAGGTTTCTGCTGCCGAACCCAGCTTGGCCCCCGCGCTGCGTTGACAGTAAGAACCTGAAGCCCACCAGGTGGGGGAAATCGCAGTGGTCAACTGGTTTTTTTGTCCCCTGAAAATTGAAAAATCTCCAAAGAAGTCCTGGTTTGGAGATCGAATCTCCTGATTTTTTCTGGGGGATCTGGGCAGTTCTCCGCCCCTTTCCATCGCCATTTTTGGGCGCGCCTCGGAGCCGGGACCTGAGGCAGCCATCAATGAAATACCTGAAGGACCTGAAGTGCCATTGCTGGCCCAACTATTGAGGGTTAAGTATGGCTAAGTATGGCTAAGTATGGCTAAGTATGGCTAAGTATGGCTAAGTGTAAGATGAGAAGGGATTGCTGAAGACGATTTTGGTCTAATGAGAACAGAAAGTTGTGCGCTTCTTTGGGGCTTCCCCGAGTGATGTTGTTGAAATCTGAATTCACCATCAACAATCCCTGGGCACAGCATCCCCTGCCACCAAACGAAATCCGGAAAACTGCAGAAACTACTCGTCACGTTGCCAATGCATGCATGGACTTAAGACCATTGTCAAGATGACATCTCTGCATTGTTTTGACCTGTTTCGGTCATACGCCGGTCTCTCTTTGAATCTTGGGTGGAATGCTGCTCAAAGTGTCCAATCAATCTCTGGTTTTGGCCCAACATTGGATTCATATCATGGCAACTTCTGGACATTATAACAACAAGCAATAACTACTTCTTAGCTGGCAGTATGCCCTTAAAATCAGCTGAAGATTGACCCCTTCACTAGTCGCTTTACCTTTGTATCCCAGATGTACCAGTACATTCTTACTGTCTTGAACAAAAGCTGCATGTGAGCTGGATCAAAAATCATCGAAGTAACCCAAACACACCAATCAAAGCCTTTGAATAACTCTCATCTTGCGGTCACATCCCCATTGGTTTTACAATGGAAATATTAACGCTTTACCCACACATATTCCGCCTTGTCATTTTCAGTATGCTAATGAGTGTAGATTAATGATATAGCAATATCACATATTCACCGACCAAAAAACAAAAAATCACCCAACATGATGGACAATAACTGGGGCGCAAAGCCCAAAAAAGTTCCAAAGATTTTGTATCCATAAAGGTGGGGCCCCCACCTTAACCAAGTCTTGGTGAACTGTTGGAACTGTTGGCATTGCAAAGTCCACCTTTTGTCAAGTTCATTGTCCCATTTGCAAAAGGAAATATCCATGGGGACAATCGTGATTGTCCCATTTCATGGCTTGTAAAGTTAATCTGGTTGGTGGTTAAAAAACCATCTTGAAAAATGATGGAGTTCGGAAATATGGGAAGAATGACATCCCATATATGAAATGGAAAATAAAAGTTATGTTCCAAACCACCAACCAGTATATCATACTATATCATTATCATTCTATAATTATCCCCAATGATATTCCTGTAAATCCCCATTATTGATGGTTAAATAACCACATGGTTCCCATTCGAAAAGTTCATTCACCAGCCACGTTTGATCCGGCTCTATCCACTGAGGGCAGCTCCAGTGGAGCGGACCTGTTGAATGCGAAGCCATTGTCCCACCTTGACCTCGTGGCGAAAATTTGGAGAAAAACATGGGATTTTCATGGATTTTCATGGATGAGGTCCAAACTGTTGGAGAAATTGATTCTGATGGATTGTCCAGACATCCATGATATCATGATATCACCCAGCAGGAAGATTCCCGGGGGATGGTCCCTCTGCAGAAATTCCACTCGGGGGATGCTCCGTGTTGTTGGAAACAAACCTCCAACTGATCACAGTTTGAAGAGGTTTCAATGAAATAAAGTCTGAGATTCTGTTGGACATCACACAATCATCCTTCAAGTTGGGATCGAACTCCATCCAACGTCCCCAGCCCCCGTCCCCGTTCACTGAAGTCAAGATGTCAAGATCCGTTTTTGTCTCCATTTCCGATGGTGAAGTCCACATGTCTGACATGTCTGATGGTTGCCAATGACTGATGGTAAAACGTGGTTTTTTCATGCGATTCATGAAACTCTGTGGCCCGCCCATCCCATCTTTTTCGCCTCTTTGTGTGAAAAGATTTCGCAACAGCAACTGCTACTGCTTGGTGTCTGGACCATGAACATCCATCTTCGCCGAATGTGCCCATCTCGGAAATCGAATCGAAAAAACAACGTCAAGTCAAGTAACTCCCAAACAAAGATGAAAAAAACATGGGGAACAGTGTCAGTCGTCCTTTAAAGTTTTAAAGCACCCAAATGACAAATCCGATTATTTTACATCAGCCACTGTGCCAATGCGCTCTGAACTTCATGGCTTTGTCTGCTGGGGTACCCCAATATCTATCTCCATGGTTTGATGGCGACGACTGGATGTGCCAATGGGTATCGTGACTGGATGGAAAGCTCCATGACAAATCCACGTCAGCAAACTCACGGATCAAAGTCCTAATCTCTTGATCAGCTCCTGGTTACTTTCCGGCAGCAGATGCTGAATTCGTTTCACCTTCTCCTGCGCTCGTGAAACATGTCCCATGTTGAGGCCCCATTCGTATGGGGTAATATCTCCAATAAACACGGAATATCCCGTTTATCGAAAATCCACCAGTCCAGCAACCATTTACCATTTACCATCCCAGTATGTCCCACTGTTTACCATCAAATCCAGTAGCTCAATCCCGAAAAAACACACACACACACACGCACGCAAAAAAAAAGCTGCTCATTTACAAAGATTTACCCAAATTTCACCCCAAATATCAGCCCCAAAAATATCCTTGATGTTTCCATGTTTAATGACTATAAAACCCCTATATTCCCTCTAGTATGACTGGTAAGTCCCTATTATTATATAAGCTTTATTAACCATTTTCAACAAAACAGTGTCCCACCATTATTAAGTACTATTAACCATTATTAACCATTATTAACCATTAATATTAACCATGATTAACCGTTATTAACCAGTATTAAACATTATTAACCGTGACAGTATTAACCATTATTAACCAGTATTAACCATATGATTGACCCATAACTATAACACATTAACATGTATTCACATGTATTCAGCACATGATTGTCCGCACACTATTAACCATTCTTGACCATTCAGTTCTTCTCTTACTCCAACAAAAACAAAACAAAGACCAACACCTGCTGATTTACCAATTTACCCAGATCTCCCCCCAAAAATATCCACTCCCAATTCTCCATGATCTTTCCATATCTTTCCCATCTCCAGAAACATCCTGGTTGGTGGTATACCTGCCCCTCTGAAAAATATGCTCGTCAATTGGGATGATGAATTATTCCCAATATATGGAAAGTCATTCCAAATTCCATAGTTCCAGTCACCACCAACCAGAGTATAGATCTATGAAGTCCATATTCAGATATATTTTCTTCGTCCCATTCACCCATTAATAGCTGGTGAACATCAAAATAGCTGGGATTTATGGATGTTCATCCCACTAAAAATGTATCTATAGGTATTGACCCATAGCCATATTAAGTCCCTATTGTTGATGGGAAAATTCCATGGTTCCAAGCTGTTCCAACGTTGCATCAGTTGATCTCCTGCCATCCCAACAGTTGGATCAGCTCCATGAAGGCCTCGTCGCAGCTCTTTTCCCCCGTCCAGACGTCTTGCACCGCCCAGGAGCCATAGCGGATGCCCAGATCTTGTCCCACCTGGGGAATCTCAGAGTTGGAATCCAACTTTTGGAAAAAAAATGGTTAATAATTGTTAATAATGGTTGAATACATGTTAATATGTTATAGTTATGGGTCAATAATATGGTTGATAATGGTTAATAAAGGTAAATGATGGCTAATAATGATGGTTAATGGTTGTTAGTAATGGTGGTTTTTATAACCGGTTAATCATGGTTAATCATGGATAATGGTTTGTCTGTGCCATATGGAAAATTGATGTGCCAGATTTTCTTGCAGAGGTTCCCTACGATTTCCAGAGGTTTCATTCCAACTTGGGGAATTATGGAACCCAGTGTTTAAAATATGCCATAGTTTTTTTTTCGAAAAAATAGGGGAACCTCTGGAAAATTGATGTTGGTCAGACAATTTCATGACTATTTGTCTTTCAGTTTTCTTGGAAAACTTGGGGTCAGGTGTCAAAAGTAGAAAACTAAACATGTTCAAAAATGTTCAAAACATATTTAGATCATGTGATTGTTCTGGAAAAAGAAATGAATGCAGCAACCAGCCACCGGCTCTTTGTTCACAATGAGTCGACAGCAAGTGGAAGGCACGTAATTCACCACGGAATTGGCAGGCGAAACCACCTGAAGCTGGACTGAAATGCGGCTTCATAGGCGCACCCTCCAGTAAACAACCAAGGGAATTAATTACTGGAAAATTCTCCATTCACAAACACTAGAGCTTAGGTTTGTCTGAAAATAGGGTATACCCCAAAATATAATCATATTCCCCTTAAGACTTATCATGTTACTTATAATTAGGGTATTACTAAACACCAGTTATCATGTTCCCCAAATCGAATAGTTTATATTAGTTTATCATAGTTTATCCCGTTAAAACTTCTATAATGTGGTTCTCCTTCGAACTGCTATACTTTTGGGGGTATACCCCCAGCAACGCCACGGCGCCAAGGATGTGCCAGCCACGATCAACAAATCGGCTTCATCCAGTGCCGGGAGCTCTTCAAAAAACCTGGGATTGAACCAGCGCGGGTTTACCATCTGGTGAAATGACATTCACAGCAATAGCCATGGAAAGATCCACCATGCTATTAATAGGTAAACCGAAACCATCATAAACCATCTATTTCTATGGGCATAAATGGGCCATCGAAAAACCATGGCGAACTGTTAGTCATAACCAGATGGTATGTGAAGAAAAGAAGATCTTGGGACCCATCCGACGTGGTACTGAAGTAAGTGATGATGATCAAGCAATGGCATCTGAAACCCCTTTGGAACCTGGGCCTACCCAGGAAAACTCAGCATGAAAAAAAACGTGGACCCTCTGGTAATGTAACATAACGATGGAAAACTAGGCATTTAGAGATGAGTTACCTATTTGATCCTATTTAAAAATAGAGAATCATGGTGGTTTCCACAGCTATGTTAAATTAACAGATGGTAATCCAAATCAAAAGTTCAGAGTTTCAACAGGTCGGTCCTGTGAAGTGACCATCTAAATCAATCTGCTGTGGGCTGGGCACCTAGAAGTTGTGTCATGTTGTCATGCAACGATACAAACCACAAGTCCAATCCTTGTTACAGTAAGGAGATTTTGTCACTCTTGATACCCTCTGACTCTGGTAATTTATGGTGGCAACTGAAAATCCTGCACAAGCAAAGTTGCTTATATTAATATATAACCATTTTTGAATTAATGATGAACATGTGGGGATTTCACGGTCAGAGTAGATTGAAATTTTGGTGGAAGGTGTTTATTCGATGGTAGTTGGAGTTGGAGAACTAAGAGGCCGCAAACTTTCACCCAGGGATGGCCGATCTAAATGCACTGAAAACATGTTGCTTCTATCATGTATCTGGGCAAACTACTATACCCTCTGGTAATTTAACATAGCTATTGAACATTGCCATTTATAGTGAGTTTTCCCATTAAAAATGGTGAATTTCCATAGTTATGTTAATTTACCAGAGGGTATATACATGTCCTAAATGTCAGAAAGACGTCAATATTTGGACAATCCCAACTACTAAGCATCATTTTGGGTGACCTCGTTGTCAGGTCGCCGCAAAATGCCCTGAAACTTGCGGAAAATGTTTGTGGAGAATCCCTGGAATCCTGGATGCAGCATTTCAGTGACGTCACAGTGAGCTTGTCATGATCCGAAGATGTTGATATCCCATCATTATTCCAGAATATTCCAGATATCAGGTATTATATCCCCAGTCGTATTCACACCCCAGTGCATCCAATCAAATCCATGGGGTCCGAAACTGACCTGCAACGGAGATGACACAGTGATTTTTGGAGGGTATGGGCACTTGCGCGGTGAACACGGTCGTGGTGACAGTTTCAAGCTGTCAAAAAACATAGCGAACTGGGAAAATCATTGATATATATATATATTATATAAATTATATATATATTATATATTGTATATATATTATATATATTATATATATATTATATATATATATTATATATATATATTTATCTAAATGCCAGCTACTTGAACAGGTTTCGACATGCTCGGGCTGAATCATCCATTGAAGCCAACACTGAACATCGTCCCCAGCAACAGTCCTTTTCACTGTAAACACCGCTGCCATTGGCCGTGCAACATCTGCTACGCACAGTCAATTGGGGATGGGTCAAAACCCTGGTACCGTGCCGTGAACCCCAAGTCATAGCTGGGATTTATGGATGTATCTATAAGGCCCATAGTCAATTGGCTACAAATCCCAGACTTGAACCCTGACTCCGGTGCTGTCACCACCACAGCCTGGAGAGCCCCATGTCACGACGCTGCCATCTGCCAAAATTGCAGCAAAAGCGAACCGTGTGGCATGGATCTGCTGGACATTCCTGAGCTGATCCCTGACTCTGGTGCTGTCACCACCATAACGCGGATGACCCCATGTCACAACGCTGCCATCTGCCAAAATTGCAGCAAAAGCTAAACTTGTGGCATGGATCTGCTGGACATTCCTGAGCTGATCCCTGACTCTGGTGCTTCGAGCGCCCCATGTCACGACGCTGCCATCTGCCAAAATTGCAGCAAAAGCGTAGCGTGTGGCATGGATCTGCTGGACATTCCTGAGCTGATCCCTGACTCTGGTGCTGTCCCCACCAGTGTTTCGATCGCCCCATGTCACAACGCTGCCATCTGCCAAAATTGCAGCAAAAGCGCTATCTGTGGCATGGATCTGCTGGACATTCCTGAGCTGATCCCTGACTCTGGTGCTGTCCCCACCAGTGTTTCGATCGCCCCATGTCACAACGCTGCCATCTGCCAAAATTGCAGCAAAAGCGCTATGTGTGGCATGGATCTGCTGGACATTCCTGAGCTGATCCCTGACTCTGGTGCTGTCCCCACCAGTGTTTCGATCGCCCCATGTCACGACGCTGCCATCTGCCAAAATTGCAGCAAAAGCGTTATCTGTGGCATGGATCTGCTGGACATTCCTGAGCTGATCCCTGACTCTGGTGCTGTCACCACCATAAAGCGGATCACCCCATGTCACAACGCTGCCATCTGCCAAAATTGCAGCAAAAGCTAAACTTGTGGCATGGATCTGCTGGACATTCCTGAGCTGATCCCTGACTCCGGTGCTGTCACCACCAGGCGTATCGCCCCATGTCACAACGCTGCCATCTGCCAAAATTGCAGCAAAAGCGAACCGTGTGGCATGGATCTGCTGGACATTCCTGAGCTGATCCCTGACTCTGGTGCTGTCACCACCATAACGCGGATGACCCCATGTCACGACGCTGCCATCTGCCAAAATTGCAGCAAAAGCTAAACTTGTGGCATGGATCTGCTGGACATTCCTGAGCTGATCCCTGACTCTGGTGCTGTCACCACCAAAGCCTGGAGAGCCCCATGTGACAATCCTGTTTCCTCCAACACGCCACAAAACCATTGCAGCACTGGTTGCAGCTACTTTGAGCTGCTGTGCAACAGCAGTAACGCTGTCTCCACTTTGAAGCCCGGAGACTTGAAGAGGTTCTGTTGGATTCAAGAGCCTCCCATCTGGGGCAGCAAGCGTGAGGAAGCCTTGCCCCAAAGACTGCTGCGCAGCCAGTTTCAAATCCAAAACAGTGCCTTCCAGTGGAAGTGATAGAGCTGCACAACGGCCGCTGGGCAACGACACATTCAGTTGCAGGGTTTTCGACTCCTCGGTATTGCTTTCTGGCAACCCCTCAACCTCTTGGGCCTCGTTGATCAATTTGTGCCTTGTGTTTTCAGGTTCCATAGCGAATGCGGCTACTTTTGCAGCTGGCTCTGCTAAATCTTGTAATGATCCACAACGAGACACTTGCAACTTGTGCCACCTATGGTGGATAAGGAGAATGCTGGCTATACCATGCTAGAATGGATTTGAACACCTTTGGTTACAGTATCAATCGCAAAAGGTTCAAAGTGTGCCTGCAGACTACGCATTTGAAAAACAAGATGGCTGCGAAAAGAATTTGACTAGCAAACAATCCATCTGAAATGAATGATGTGGAGCTATCACTTGTCCCAAAAATACTGTGAGTACCCTGCGGTGCTCAAACATCGCTTTTAAAGAAAACATGTCGTAAAACTCTCAGCTTTTCCCCAAACCTATCAGTTTTTTCCCCCTGTTTTTAGTGATCATCCACCAGCATCAAGTCATCAGCACGTCCTCGGATTGCCAAGCAACGCCCCTGGGAGGCTACTCCCAAAGAGCACCGTGTTCGGCTTCACCAAAGCTTTGTTGCAGGACGGACATCGGATTTCACTGGATTCCTGGATTTCACACTGCAAATGGCAACTTGGATTTCCAATTTTTTGGGATCAAAAATATGAGGGGCTACATCAATTTCAAATGATGTTCTGGGAGCATATATAGAGCTGGTCCCAACCACAGCTGATGTCCAAACAGTTTGTTTCTGGATGGGGTATACAGCTCATCCCCTGGTTTCAACCCCAATGGTCCCAGCTTTTCGCATTGAAACATCAACATGTTGTGGTGTATCACTGTTTGGAGCCCATCCCCCAGTCATGGACATTTTTTTTTTTCAATGTCTGCAGCTTGTGTTTCAGCTGCGTCAAACCACCGAAATCACGAAATCTAAGAAATGTTGACCTAGCAAAATGCATGAAAAAATGATGAAGAATTATGATGTGGCCACAAAAAGTGGAAGGTGGTGACCAACATTTGGGTTATGTGACTCATGGGATGTCCCCAGCATCGGACACACACCTGACTGGAAAATCATCAGGTTGTTCTGTTGAACAACTGCGAATTTTCCATGAAACCATGTTTGTCCAAGGAGGTATCCCTCTAGTTGAACCACATTTGATTCTGAGTTGTATCCACATGTTTCGTCATATTCCCATTTGTTGGAAAGTTGACCATAAGAATGCTGGCCTTACCCAGATGGGCATGCCCAAATGCATTTCTTCAATGGTCATTTGGGGGCCGAACACCCCACTTCTGGACTAATTCATTTTAGGAGTTGTTTTTTGCCATTTTGTTCATTGGGTATTGCGGGAAACCATTGTTTTAACCCCCAGATATATGCGGATTTTCCCCTCCAACAATCAATCGCTTTGTCCAAACACAAAAAACCAAACAAGTGGTTTGGAACCGCATTTTCCCCATCAAATTTGTTGCTGTTGGGGGCCATATCCCGTTTCCAGACACCCAATGACATTCCCATGTTGTTCCCATGTTGTACCATGATATTCGCCCTAAAAACAGAGTAGATCACATCAAATCACATCAAATCACTAAATCATACACTATTCCCATCATACAGTCATACATGACTATATATGACAATATGATAGTTTAGATGAGAATATTATATATATATAGTAAATCAATTTACAGTACATCCCACACCTTAATCTTCATCCCATGAAACATCCCGTCCGTCCTTTGGCGCCGTGGGGTCCACGTTGTAGATATCTTTGATTTGCGTCTTCACCTTCTGGCAGAAAACGTCGAAGGGCACCTCTCTTCCGCAGCCTTCGCAGCTGACGTTGGCGATGCTGCCATGGACGTTGGTCACCAGCTGGCGCTTGATGCCTGGGCTGCAACGCTGCGCAGCCCAGGTGAAAGACGAGGTGCGTCTTTAAGATGATCTTGAGTTGGTAGTTGGATGTAGTTCGTGATTTTTTGGGGTCAAGAATAAATCTTGGATGTGATGATGCTTTGGCTGGAAAGTGGGGATCTTTTCGGCTTTAGATGGGTTGGTTTCAATATAAATGTGTCCCTGCAATTGTTCGTGGGGTGGTTCAATAATCTGGGATGGTGGTTCAAAATTAGATCGAAACTTCCATTCATCAGTGTTGCTCCCCGGCCACCACAGGTACAATTTGGGATTAATTTGGGTGAATCGAGAGTTAAAATCCGTTAAAATTACCCATTTAGTTTACCGGACTTGTGGTTTATGTTATAATAAATTTAATTTTATATAATATACTTTAAATAATATAATATTAATATAATATAATATTAATATAATATAATACATATATATACCCATAGATCGGATAGGTTGGAGCAAGCGAATCTTCATGAGGTGATATTGGGAAAATCTTCGACTTTCCAAAGTTTTAGCATCGAATTCAGATTCCTGACATGTTTCCTGGGATGGTTACTGACAATCAGCGGATTGATTTCAGGGAAACTTGATGATTAAAAACCATTGCTTTTAACATCAAATCTATAGGGGATTCCTGTAAGTTGTCCTTTCAACCAATTCTACGATTGGATACTAAGCTCAAAAAAAGTTACATCTTTGGGCAATAGAACGGTTTTAATATCTTATAGAATTAGATACCCAAAAACCAACTTCGAAATCTCCTGGAACCGGCGACTACTCGCCAAACAATGGGGATCCAGGCCTGTCTGGTAGTCCAGGCCATCGATGTTTTGGGTGAAGACCCGTTTCAGTAGGCCCTCCTCTTCCAGGAACTTCCTAGGACGCGAAACGGTGAAACATCGCTGGTTGCGTGCTGTGAAAATCATGGAGAAACCATTGGTTTTTGTGGGTGAAAAAGTTAAAAATGGTGAAACATTGTGTTTCACCATGTGAACCACAAAAAAATCAACTCAAAAGAACAGAAAGAATCAAAAAGATACAAAAACCACTAATCTACGATGTGCGAAAGCTTGATATACCCAGTTTTTCGGACCAAAACTCCTTGTGGAACCTTGGACCCCCCGAGGCCATGACGGTGGCTCTCCCATTGGACCTTTGACCCCCTTCGAATGGGGTTTCGATATGTTCTTCGTTTCAAAAAAGGGCGGTTAAAACATGTTAAAACACTATATCCTGCACAAAAAAAGATCTCAAATCCATTGCCACTGAAGATCGAAAAAAAAATGGAAAGAAGTTCACAAATTGACCAACGAAGCGTCATAAACCAATGAGATATCGTGGCCTTCCACTGCTGACTTTGGACACCCAAGATGAAAGGCCGTCGCACTTCCATGTAGGGAAACTGGTTCTGGAAGAACATCTCCTTCGGCGATCCACGTCCCCGTTGCAACAATTTAATTCAACCTTCCAAAAGAACATCCTTCAGCCCCATCTCAACCTCGATCTCCATATATCTACATCATTCTGAATGATCCAGGTAAAATCCATCGAACCCTCCGTCCAACCCTTCCTAAAAATGTCCTCATCCGCAACTCCTCAACCATTTCCCAACCATTTCCCAACCATTTCCCAACCCCTCTCCCTGGTGACCACGTGCACCGGATCCGCCCGCATCATCCGCCGCTGCGTCTCCGTGGCCGTCAGCAGCTCGGGCCGCAGCGAGTCGTACATGCCGCCGGGCGAGCGGAAGTCCGGGATGCCGGCGCCCGTGGAGACGCCCGCGCCGGTGAGGCAAAAGATGGAGCGGCAGCCTGGGGACCATGGCTGGGGGTGTCCTGATTCCCCAAGAGCTGGATGGGTTTGAAGGTAAAATCTGAAATGTGGGGGTAGTTGCCCCATTTTAGGAAACCGGTGTGTCTGAAAATGGGGTATACCTTGCAGTTGTAGCCATTGTTCATAGGGAAAATGATGATTCACCAGTGGCAAACAAAGGAATAGCCTTTTTTCAGATATGTGCCATGGTCAAGCTAAGTCAAGCTACACTCAGTACATTTCCTGTTGATCCATAGCCATGACATGTGTGAAACCTTACCATGGATATACCGATAGCCTATTGTCATATTTTGGAACATGGGGAAAACGGAATGGATTATCCACAGTGATATTTTTGAAATCACTAACGGTTTCATATCCATCTTCTGGCATCTGGGGAAGGTACCTGGAGGATCATCCAATTGTAAGTGGTTAGTTTTCCTGGTCAGATTCGTTCCCGATTCCTGGTCGGTTCTCCCATTTCTCGGGTTATAACCTGTGATAACCCCAGCAACCAGTTTCTAGGGTGATCCTCTAAGCATGGAGATGATGGCGGAGAAATTGTGCGGACAAAAAAATGTTTGGAAAAATTGTGGGGACCTGACATTTGGGGATGATTCGGATGATTCATGACTGGAAAAGTAGGGGAAATCGTGAGAAAAATGTTGGAATTTGGGGATGAGGATGGTGGAAAATGTTGAGGGTAAGATTCGGAGAGAGTTTGATGGATGGGACAAAGCTTGGGGAAGATGTTTAGAAAATGGTGAAGAAATTTGTTGGGGAAAATGGCTCAGGGGAATCTGGGGATGGTGTGGCAGAATTTGTTTATGTTTTTTTTGGAACATCTTTGGAATATTCAAAAAAAAATCCAGCTGAGCAGCGTCCAGACTTGATAAACTCTGCGATCCCAGCCAAGGACAAGGGCTCCAGGACCGGTTTGGCACACATGGTGAGATGATCGAGGCAAGTGGCGCAGGCCATCAGACAGCTCGCTACGAGGAGTCGGCGTCGAAACACTTGGTTGGTCGAACCAACCATCCGTGGTGTCGTTGGGAGATCTTCACACTAGGACTAGGTGACTAGTAGTGACTAGGTAGGATGGAACATACGGGAATCATTTGAGAATAAACATTAACAAAATGTTGAAACATTCGCAGATGGCGATAGCAAGTGACATGTTGAAAACGGCTGCAATCATCGACTCGTGTTTCTTCTTGCTGGGATCATCTCAATGCTGAACCTTCGACCCATGCTGTTTGCCAAACTCGTACATTCCCAAATTTTGAATACCAAATCTCAACCAGTTCTTGGCTCAACCATCTGTTTTCGCTGCTAAGATCGGCACTGAATGGTACCTGAATGTGGTACCTGAAAATGTTCATTCCATCCACAACTATCAGATTGTTGCATATTGAAAATGCCACAAATGGGGATACCTAATTTTCAGCCACACTCAAGTATCATATTGCTGCTTTGTAGTTACAGTAATCACGACTAGATTTATATCCACATCGTATTCGCACTATGTTAAGCTATGTTCCCCCGAAATCACATTCCCATGAAATCCCAAAAAAATAAAGTCCTTCTTAAATCCCATTAGTCAACTCCCATTAGTCCCCCACTAAATCCCCTGAAATCTGGTTTTCCCATGTTCAATTCACCATTTTCCTCGCCACCCAGCCAACTTTGGGTTCCCAAGCATCGCTGGCCAGCCACTTTGCTGCCAATGCCGGCTGCGACACCTGAGGATCTGCCCATTGAGCCACTTGTCACTGGTTGTGCTTGTGGAAATCCTCCAAGTATACAATGAACATATCGGTTATGAATGGCTATGATGGGTATATCATGGTATATCATCAAAATCTATCCAAATATGGGCCTTAACCAACACAAGGGGTAAAACTGTGTAACAATATCGATGTATAACTGTATAACATTGTATAACCGTATAGCCGACAAGGGATGGGAATGTAATAATGAACGTATCTCATGGATGTATATATATATATATTATAGAGATATATATGGGCTAGAAAACCATGGTATACCATGGCTATATTATGTGGCTACTGAAAATAGCGTACCATGATACCCCAAAATCCACTATTCACAGTGATACTGTGAATTCATAGTAATTCATGTTCCGCATGAAAATCTGCATTGGTGCAACAAAATGTCAAATACACCCATGTGGAGTCTTATGGAAAATACCCATGCTGTTATACATGTGTTCCAGTTCCTACTTGGGATTCACTTTTTTATTCATTGAACCTGGTTCCGTCGAGCTGAAAAACCTCTCCCCAAGTCATGGTTGAGCGCAAGGCATCGAGGCCTTGGTAAGCGTCAAGCTGATGGGTGAAACATGGTGAAACTGTAAGGTCATGGAGTGGCTATGTGGCTATGGTGATGGATTTAGAGTTTCTGAGTGCTTTTTTTCCATGGCAATTCATGAAGATTTTCCGGATGAGGTCTACAATACCTCGTGATGTTGTTGTTTTGGACTGTCAATACGTGGTGAGATACCTTCTGAAGAAATCTGCAAGTGAGTTTGTCTCCACAGGTTTCTACAACCTCGCAACCAAGCCCCTGGGGAACGGGTCAAACACTGAAAGCCATGGAAACATCATCCATTCATCATCCATTCCATCTTTGAGGTCCACGGCTGATGGATGGGATGGAGCCATCCGTGACCACCAGCCGCAAGCGCGGCACCGACTCCACTTGCAACACCTGGTACCCAGCCAGTTTCATGGGGGGTTCAAGCTAGAATTACCCATAGTTTGGGCCGGTTAACAGGTAACTACTCCAACTTGTGGCAATTTTTGGGTAACTTGAAGTTGACCAAGATTTTTCACGCCCATTTTTTTTAGGAATTTGAAGTGCCGGAAGCACGTGCGCCCCACTGTTACTCACCTGGCCAGCATAGCACAAGTGCTGACCATAGAAGTGGCAGTGGGTCACCAAAATATCCCTATTGTCTTATATATTATTATATAATGGATTCTTATTATGGGATTATTATATATCCCATAGATAATATTATCCCTATCTCACTATGATATAATCTATATCACCTTATTGTATTATTATAAAGATTATATCCCCATTATGTATACAGATTCTCATCCCAGATTCAACAACATAACAACGATCCGATGGCTGACTCACTCAGTAGCTCCAACTCGCGCGGCCGTTGGCGGTGAAACCGGCCTGCACGATGAGATCCCTCTGGGAAGAGCTCTCCAAGAGATCCCGCAGCATCACCAAATACCTGCAACGGGATGCCACACGGCTCGAAGGACCGGTCGATGTCTGAACAAAACATGTCCCAAATGGTTGAAGAAGGACTGTGGTCATCATATGTCTGTCGGTACATGGGAAAATATTAAGAACATGATGCCTAATAACTTAAAACTAGAACATCATGTTTTCTATTACCATCTTTTCTAGAACAGTACCCATTGTAATTATAATAGATTGTAATCAGTAAACGGGTATTCTTACGCGTTTTCAATGAACAGAACATCCTGTTCAGTCGGACACCAAAAAAAATGTGCTCCCCATGTTCTGATCATTTCTGCCCAAGATTTATTTTAAATTATATAGATTACAGATTACACTATATGGTGTTCTTGTCATTGGATGTCATTTTGCTAGTGATTCTAAGAAACAAAGATTCAATGTGTTTCTAAACGTAGATTCGAAATAAACAAAATCCACACTTATTCCATGAGGGTTAAGAATGAATACAACAATTGTATGTACAGTTTTTTTGTAATTCATCCCATCCCCCTAATAATAAACACCACCCCAGAAATTCCACATTCCATTGGGACCATAATTCCACATTCCATTGGAGAATTCCATGGGTGTGATACCATGGTTTTTTATAGGAACATCATTGAAACCATGTTTTTTTTATGGGAGAATTCCACATTCCATTGGGACCATACCATGGGGAATTGTAGGGCCAAGTCACTGGGACATGGTTTCCTTCGAGAGCCTCTGCTGGACCCAGGCCTGCACAGGCGCTGCTTTGTTTTGGTGACGAAGTCGTCAACATGAGGAATGGAAGGGTTGAATAATTTCTGGCAGTTTAGTTGGTTTTATGTTGGTTGTTTTTATATGTGTCAGTGGATTTCATCAAGTAAACATGAGGTAAAATGAGCCAGGGCTCATTTCACAAGTGGCTACTGGAGATGAACTCAAAGAAATCAGCAAAGGTGCCACTTTTGGTTGGCCATGCCTTCACTTTGTTGGGAGATCATTTGGGTTTCAATGGACATTCCAATAGTTTGGGATCTCTCGGGATGGTTCTTTTGGTGGTGGAATTGACTACGGTCCCAATACCTGTCCCGTTGGCACCTGAAAGCCCATGGTTTAATGGCGCTGCATCTGCTGAAACCTTACCTTTTTTTGTCTACATCCATATCATGTGGGATATTGGCGAATGTATTATAGTTCTTTGAATAGAAGGAAACCCATGGAAACCCCATTCACTGAATCGTCTTTCCCCACCTCTGCCCGCATCCTTTTTTTCCTCACTTCAGCATCACTTTGGAGGTCCACCTCCCCAGCATGATCTGAAACCGCGCATCCACGTCCTCCCCGAGCATCAGCAGCGTCAGGTGCCGCCGCCCCTGCGCATCCACGAAGCGCATCAGCCCGGGCGCCGTGTCCTCGGAGTCCTGCAGCTCAATGGTGCTGATGGCGTCGGCATCCAACTTCAACTGGAAGCTGCCGTCCAACGACCTGAAAAAAGAGGGGGATCTGGGATGGAGATGGGAAAACCCATGGAAAAACAGATCATCTCTGTTTGGAATTCAAGAATGTTGGAAACAATTCATATTTTGGGGGGGCAAAAAGATCTGAAAACAAAAATGACTTGGTGGGCATGTTGGTCATCAGCCGCTGGGGAATGGGCGATGTTGATCCCCACACCTTGGGATCCCAAACTTGCATCCCACTGCTTGGTGAATCTGCCAAAAAAAATACCCAAAAACTCGGATGATCTAAAATGATCTAAACTGCTACAAATCTTCAAAAACTCCAGACTTCAAAATTTGCCCATTACTGAATCCTTCAAGTAGACTCCACTATGTCATATCCCATCCTTATTAAATCCCCATTAAATCCCATCAAATTAGATCCATTTTAAATCCATATTAAAATCACCATCCAATCCCATGAAATCGCCATGTTTTCTTGGGAGATCACCACCGGTGCCTCATCTGCAGCACGCTGCGCCCCTTGGGCGACCGCTGCACACTGATCTCCGTGCGCCCCGCGCGCAGATCCGCCGTGGCCTCGACGATCGCCAGGCCGTTGACGACGTAGCGACAGGGCGTCAGCTGGGCGGTTTCGAAGAGGAACTCGGCCAGGTGTTGGGCACCACCTGGCAGTGAAGGTAGCTAATCTAACTTACACCGGTGAAATCTAACATAGCGTTTTTTTAGCCCTGGCATCAACTCACAAACATAGCATCTGGCTACGTTGTCAACCCTGGGGATTTGGAGAAAGTGATCATTTGGGTGATTTCTGCCAACACCTGCTAACATAGCCTCTGTTTCCGTCCTCCCAATATTTGGCATTCCCCAGGACGTGGGTAAAAGAAATGTACCAGAATAAGCTAACATAGCTGTCTGGAGACTTGTCACAGCTTGGAACCACCAAATGGAAAGTGCTATGTTTGCATCAAACTCCACGGAAAACATGTTTTAGAAAACAGGAAACCGAACACATCAATCAATCAATCCAAAATGAAAGTACCCCTGGTTGCTATGTTAGGTTGTCTCTTTTGAGTCTCCAGCCGACCAGATCAAACCAAAACTGTTTTTGGATGCCTTTCTGGGGGTCACCCTTACTGGGCCCAAAAAAGCTTCAAAACGAACAATTTTACATAATAGATTGAATATGGAAAAAACTCCTGGTCGATGTTGCCAATCTGGCTACTTGCTGCCATGATGATTATGATGTACTACTATTGGAGGTTTTGGGAACCCTGGGCAAATGCTATGTTAGTAGTCCTGTTGCCAAAACTTTGGTTTCGGATTGAAAATCATGACTGGCACAACTGTTTTTGGATGTCTTCCTGGGGCTCACCCTTGCTGGACCCAAAAAAGCTTCAAAATCAACAATTTTACAAAATAGATTGAATAAGAAAAAACTCCTGGTCGATGTTGCCAATCTGGCTACTTGCTGCCATGATGATTATAATTATGATTTACTATTGGAGGTTTTGGGAACCCTGAGCAAATGCTATGTTAGCAATCCTGTTGCCAAGACTTTGGAAATTATGACTGGCACAACTGTTTTTGGATGCCTTCCTGGGGCTCACCCTTACTGGACCCAAAAAAGCTTCAAAATCAACAATTTTACAAAATAGATTGAATAAGGAAAAAACTCCTGGTCGATGTTGCCAATCTGGCTACTTGCTGCCATGATGATTATGATGTACTATTGGAGGTTTTGGGAACCCTGGGCAAATGCTATGTTAGCAATCCTGTTGCCAAAATCTGGTTTGGATTGACAATCGTGACTGGCACAACTGTTTTTGGATGCCTTCCTGGGGCTCACCCTTACTGGACCCAAAAAAGCTTCAAAACCTACAATTTTTCAAAATAGATTGAATAAGGAGAAAACTCCTGGTCGATGTTGCCAATCTGGCTACTTGCTGCCATGATGGTTATGATGTGCTATTGGAGGTTTTGGGAACCCTGGGCAAATGCTATGTTAGCAATCCTGTTGCCAAAACTTTGGAAATTAATACTGGCACAACTGTTTTTGGATGTCTTCCTGGGGCTCACCCTTACTGGACCCACAAAAGCTTCAAAACCAACAATTTTTCAAATAGATTGAATAAGGAAAAAACTCCTGGTCGATGTTGCCAATCTGGCTACTTGCTGCCATGATGATTATGATGAACTATTGGAGGTTTTGGGAACCCTGAGCAAATGCTATGTTAGTAATCCTGTTGCCAAAACTCTGGTGTGGATTGAAAATCATGACTGGCACAACTGTTTTTGGATGTCTTCCTGGGGCTCACCCTTACTGGACCCACAAAAGCTTCAAAACAACAACAATTTTACAAAATAGATTGAATAAGGAAAAAACTCCTGGTCGATGTTGCCAATCTGGCTACTTGCTGCCATGATGATTATGATGTGCTATTGGAGGTTTTGGGAACCCTGGGCAAATGCTATGTTAGCAAACCTGTTGCCAAAACTTTGGTTTGGATTGAAATTCATGACTGGCACAACTGTTTTTGGATGTCTTCCTGGGGCTCACCCTTACTGGACCCAAAAAAGCTTCAAAACGAACAATTTTACATATATAATAGATTGAATAAGGAAAAAACTCCTGGTCGATGTTGCCAATCTGGCTACTTGCTGCCATGATGATTATGATGTGCTATTGGAGTTTTGGGAACCCTGGGCAAATGCTATGTTAGCAATCCTGTTGCCAAAACTTTGGAAATTATGACTGGCACGCCTGTTTTTGGATGCCTTCCTGGGGCTCACCCTTACTAGACCCAAAAAAGCTTCAAAATCAACACTTTTACATAATAGATTGAATAAGGAAAAAACTCCTGGTCGATGTTGCCAATCCGGCTGCTTGCTGCCATGATGATGAAGATGATGATGATGATGACGATGATGATGATGATGATGATGTGGTTGGTAATTGGAAGTTTTGGGAACCCTGGGCGAATGCTATGTTAGCAATCCTGCTGCCAAAACTTTGGTTTCTATTGAAAATCATGACTGGCACGACTGTTTTTGGATGTCTTCCTGAGGCTCACCCTTGCTGGACCCACAAAAGCTTCAAAACCAACATTTTTTTCAAAATAGATTGAATAAGGAAAAAACTCCTGGTCGATGTTGCCACTCTGGCTACTTGCTGCCATGATGATTATGATGTGCTATTGGAGGTTTTGGGAACCCTGGGCAAATGCTATGTTAGCAATCCTGTTGCCAAGACTCTAGTTTGGATTGAAAATCATGACTGGCACAACTGTTTTTGGATGTGTTCCTGGGGCTCACCCTTACTCGACCCAAAAAAGCTTCAAAACGAACAATTTTACATAATAGATTGAATAAGGAAAAAACTCCTGGTCGATGTTGCCAATCTGGCTCCTTGCTGCCATGATGATTATGATGTACTATTGGAGGTTTTGGGAACCCTGGGCAAATGCTATGTTAGCAATCCTGTTGCCAAAACTCTGGTTTGGATTGAAAATCATGACTGGCACAACTGTTTTTGCATGTCTTCATGGGGCTCACCCTTACTGGACCCAAAAAAAAATCAAAACGAACAGTTTTACATAATAGATTGAATAAGGAAAAAAACCCTGGTCGATGTTGCCAATCTGGCTACTTGCTGCCATGATGATTATGATGTACTATTGGAGGTTTTGGGAACCCTGGGCAAATGCTATGTTAGTAGTCCTGTTGCCAAAACTTTGGAAATCATGACTGGCACAACTGTTTTTGGATGTCTTCCTGGGGCTCACCCTTACTGGACCCAAAAAAGCTTCAAAACGAACAATTTTAATCGATTGAATATGGAAAAAACTCCTGGTCGATGTTGCCAATCTGGCTACTTGCTGCCATGATGATGATGATGATGATGATGATGATGATGTACTATTGGAGGTTTTGGGAACCCTGCGCAAATGCTATGTTAGTAGCCTCCTTGGTCTCACAACCTTTCCGCCAACGCGCTCGCGCGTTAGCGGAAAACGATTCGTTGCATTTGGATCACTCGTTGTTTTTCGCAACAGGGCTGCTACTACTACTACTGCTACTACTACTACTACTACTTCACACGCGCCAAGTTAGCACCAAAATGTCCATGTCACACCATGTGTCCCCAATGCCAAGTTAGTTGAATCTCAGCCCCAAAACCAAAACACTAACATAGCGAGAAAAAAAAAACTTTCAACAGGTAAGATTTCACGAGAGTAGATCCTTTTTGTTGGGGGTTCCTCAAATCCCTAGTCTGATTATTCTGATTCCTTCAGTTTTTTTTTGGGTTGGTTTCAATCCCCATGTTGGTTCCGTTCCAATTTTTGCTGGCGTTCCATGGCAAAATCGGAAAAGTTATCCCAACAATGGAAGCACCTCCCGGCGTTCGTCGCTGCTGTGGCGTCAAGCCCCCCCAGGCACTGCGCGCGCCGCGCGCGCCCCGCCCAGCGTCGTGGGGCCACCAGGGGTGCCCAGTGAAGCACTGCACGGCGCAGGCTGAGAGTCCCAACAGCAGGAGGCGACCATAGAAATTCTCCATGAGGATTGTTTTTTCTCCGAAGAAAGATTAGAGTCCGGAAGAGTCTAAGATATTCACCCCTGCAAAAGATTAGATTTGTTTGAATACAATGAAATATGTTCAACCTTGACCTCAAGAATTGTGTCTAACCCAAGAGTACGGAAATTTGCCGACAAATTGGAGGTAAAGCGATGATTTCTTATCCCCTGTTCGTCACCAGATGAACTGACGCATATCATTGAATTGCTGGTATACAGACTTGAGGTATAGGGGGTCGTAATTCCGTATGGCAATGTAAGGATCCTTGTTGTGGATTGTAGTTATTTCCCGGCACACCAGGCAGGCTCACAACCCCCCATAACATCCATAACTAATTGAAGTCCAGGCAGTGTCTGAAATTAAGTGGCTTTGCCACTTCAAATCAAAGACCTCAAATTGCGGCTTTGTATCCCCATGTGTTTCCTTAAACATCTAGGCTGATGTTGCCAAATGGCATTCAATGGCCCCGACTGGCATCTGGAGTGGTCCGAGAAAAGAACTTATCAAAATGTCAACTTGATTGACTCACCTTGTTGTCGGAGTTACTTCAAATACCCCAATAATGTGATTATATATTCATGGTTATTCCCAATACTTCAAAATGCAAGCACTTGGGGATATCTCATGGCTGTGATGGAATATTGGCAATATGGCCCTGGCCCTTAAGCCTGAGAAACTGCGAATGAAATCTGGTGGCGCCTATGCCCCTCCAAATCATGTTGGTTCCAAACCCAAATCGACCCATGATTGCTTGCTGGTACCCCCCAGTGTGCAAAGATTCCCACATTTTATGTAAAACATGATTTACAAAACCATTGACGTTGGGTCCTTTTTGTGAGAAGGTCATGTAGGGGTGTCTCAATAAACTGGATACCCAACAATAAACATGTTTTATCATCATGGTTTTGATCGAAACAATTGCAATGTTTGTGGTATCCACAAGACTGATAGAACCCCCCTACTGAGTAAAACCTCCACAGCCTCACCGGAAACCACAGCTCTACCAAGATCACATGCACAGGGCAGCAACCAACAAGGGATGTACCCAAACAATTACCGATCACTTCTGCTTGCGCCTCCATTCTCCAAGAAAATGCGCCCTTTGCCCAAAAAGATTGCAAAACCAAAAAATGGAGGCGTCAAAACCGGAAAAACTTACTTGATGTATAATATCAAGCACGATTTGTATTCAAAATTCCCTTGCCTTTGTATATTACATTTCCCAAAACCGATCTTTTTGAAACTGGTTGTTTGACAAGCGCTAACAGTTATTTGCACACGGGGTGTCGTTAGCAATGATCAAAACTCAACAATTGGAAGATTTGTGCTCGCGAAGGTCATCTAGGAAAACCATCTCAGACATGCTGTTGTTATGCCTGCACCGAATGCCCTGAGATGATACGTGTTTTATTTTGGGTTGAACCATGCACCAGCATCATGGCATCAGCAACAAGCCCCACTTTCTCACAAAAAAAAAAAAACGCGCGCTTGAGTTGAATAGTTTGGCTGCACGGGTTTCGCAGGAACCACACATTGCGTTAAAAATTGTTTGGCCCAGCCACTGTCACATGGCCTCTCAACTGTGCGGGATCTCAACCTCCGCGACTCTATTCCGGACAGACGAAATAAATTCAGGGCTAAATCCTTTGTATGGCAATCCGACATGACATGCAGTCAGGAGACCACATGCATCCAGCATGAAGGCATTCGGAGGCTTGTGGTTGCACAAACTCGGTGTTTCATGGATATCACCAAGCCTCCCTTCAAGGGGCACATCATCGATGCACATGCGAGGCTCAGATATGCTGCGCGTGCACTCCAGGAAGTAAACCGTTTGCAGCTGCTGCTTTCCATCGCGAAGAAAGAGCTGCTTGGTTTCACAAATCACGCGCGATACTTCAACATGACCAATCTCCTTCGGAATCGTTTGAACATGCGCATATTGGACTTCTGCAAGGAAAACCAAGCACTCCAGGCTGGGGCACTTTGCTTGAATCTGCAACAGCGGCATGCATACGAGGCGCATGCCAGGGACGCTGCTGGCACGTTCTCTAATCAGCTCATTGCCAGCAAATGTCTTTGGGAGTGGCACCACCAATTCCTTCAACTTTGGAAGAGATTGCAAGTGAGGAAACATCTGTTCTGGGACCACAAAATCTCTGTCACTCGTAGCGACCCTGTTTGACAACTGCAGCTGCAGGCGCTCCATGGTGTGGGAATGGCGGTTCAAGAACTGTGTGATTCCATCACAATCTTCCCTGTACAGCACATCCCCACGTAGCCTCAGTCGCCGCAACCGCGGCAGCGTTGTAGATTCCCAGACTTCGATGAAGGCAAAATCGCCTCGGTGAGCATCATGGTCCCAAGGGTGCCAATTCAGGAAGAGTGTCTCGAGCTGCTGCGCCTCTCAAGAACAAGGGTCAAATACAACCACTTTTCCCTACTTTTCCTATCACAATGGAAACGGTCATGCAAATGACTGGAGCACACATGCAGCAGGGTTGAGTAGGATCAAGTACTGTCAAGTGCCCCCTGATTTTGTATCTCCAAGCTACGCTGACCAATGACTGACACATGAAACTCTCAAACTCTCCCATTGATTCTGGTCTGGCACTCTGTGGATCCCCTTAGCTTTGCTCAGACTCTACCCAGCTGGCCTGTCTCAACGCACGTGCAACGCACTCTCCAAACTCTTCATGGTCAAAACGTATCAGGTAATCACCAGCAGAAAGCTCCAAATGGCGGAGACGCCCAAAGACTTCTCTAACGAAGTCGTTGATCGGAAAACGATCTGGAGGGGGCGCAGCCTGAAGTTCCAGAGTCTCGAGACTGTTACATCGATAAAGGTGGTGGAAGTAGACTTCAAAGCGCTCGGCATTGATATCATCGTCTAGAACTTGGCTACGGTCTGGCTCGGCCAGAACAACTGACTTGAAGATGACACGTTTGAGTGTCGATGAGTTCAAGTCGATCAAGCGCCACACTTTTCCACCATCCCAATCAAAATGTTTCCTGCCAAGTGGCTGCGGGAGAGGCGTCAGAATGAACTCAGTCTCTTCCTGAATAACCAGCTCCTCTAGGTGTCTGTGTTCAAACAGACCTCCAAAGTGATCATGATGCCAGTGCTTGTCCAGCACAATCTTCTTCAAGTTCTTTCGAAACCTGTGCATTTGGCGTCCCCAGAACGCTGATGATTGACAAACTCTAGCTGCTAGTACCCTCTACAACATCTTTCTACAATTCTACAACATCCTGTCTGGTGTTTGATCAAAGCATATGCCAAAGCAACGTGGCCACGCGTAAGCGATAGCCCTTGCTGCAGCTTGCAAGACTGGAGTTTCCACTAGCACCCAGCCAGCCCAAGATCTCAAGGCCGCAAAGCTGGGGCGCATCAAGCTGCTCGCTGAACAGCGCCGAGAGGTTGAAAGATCTTGCCATCGGAACGAGTGGATTCTGAACTCGGCAATTGCCGCCTACGGCACTATGAAAAAATATGGCAAACCAGCTACAAATTTGAGGATGGTCTTTATCACCTATGTAATTATGGTAATATTGGTAATATTGGGATGGCTATGGCATTGGGATGGCTATGGCGTTGGGTTTACATGGCTTTATCACATCAGACATCCATTCGCCTTCACATCACTCTGCTTCATGATGAGGGTTGGTAGTGTCTGAAACGTGGAAACCTTCTGCCGGCCACAACACTGACAGGTTGCGAAAGAAGCATGTTCGATCATCTCTGAATGAACTGGTCAATGGTGAGTGGCCCGGTTCAAAGTGAAGTATCTCTCCCCACTGACCTCGTTTATAACTCCAGGGTCTTAATTTTAATGGTATGTCTAATGATTTGTATGTACAACAACTGGTAGTTATACATTCATAACTGGCAGTTTTGGCCCATCACAGCCCATCAGAATTGCATGTTCCTTGCGTAACTCCAGCAGGATCAGCCACACCTGCAGCTGCCGCACACGCGCACGATCTGCGGGAACCAGGGTGTGCGTCTCTCCTGTCCGCTTCTCGGGTTCTCGTCAGATGGGGATGGGTCATGGGTCGGCAGAAATTGGGTCATGGGTCACCCCATTGGATGGCAATTGAATAGAGAAAATGATAAGAATCCAGAGAATGAGGGTTAACTATATTAACTTGTTTTGGGTTAACTATATTAACTTGTTTTGAGGCAAACCCATCTGGCCATGTTTTCAGTTGGAAAAGGCGATAATACCAGGATTCAGATTCTAAGGGCACTTCTTGAATGGCAAACCCACCACAGCAATCGTCCAATGGACAGATTCAAAAATCACCATAGGTCCGATAGGTCCTGACATAAAGAGAATCCGGAATAATCCACATAATGTATCCCATTATAAAAATATCTATTCAGGTTGAATAATCATACCTTTTACTCATTAACAGTGACAATTGATCATATAGATAGTGATAATGTGGTAATAATGTGGTGAATATGTGCTGATAATGTGGTGAAAATGTGGTGATAATGTGGTGATAATGTGGTGATATTCTCTAGATTTCTCTAGTCATATCCCACATATTCTCGCTTTCATTTCTGGTCCAGTCGTCCTATCCCACTGGGCTTCAGACCCTGGATGCCCCCTCAGTTTCACGGGGCTCCATCGGCTTTGCCCACATCGAAGTGTTAGTGAAAACAGGAGGGTCATATTCTAAAAATGGATGTTCAATCATCAAAATACCCTCTGGTAAACTAACATAGCTATTGAAAATGGCCATTTATAGTGATTTTTCCCATTAAAAATGATGATGTTCCATAGTTATGTTAGTTCACCAGAGGGTGTCAAACATCAACTTCATAATATGAATCATGGAAAAACATGAACCATCCATTGTTAAACTTCCACTTCACCGGATCATATGAAAAACGAAAAATTCTCCAAACGAAACCGTGGTGGAAGGAATTACAATCTATAAACTGAGGAGCCCCATCTGCAGCAAAAAGGGTGAATCTAGTCTTTTCCCAGAAAAAATAGCTCCACTTTAACCATAAAAAAACCCACAGATTCTGATGATCTCTCCAATGACCATTGTTCTCCCATCTAAAGCTGGATTATGACCATCACTATCCAGCTACTAAGCCATTACATACCGTGATTCATCCCATCCCATCGCTTCGCAGGGCGACAGTGCGGAACTTGAGCGTCGTCCGCGTCTGCCGCGTCTGCCTTTAAGAGAGCATCGGTGTGACGAAACGCCAGAAAAACATAGAAATGCCATGGTTGCTTAAATTGTGTCTGAATGTTGGGATTCACATGGATATATATATATATATACATACGTATACATATACATATACATATACATATACATATACATATATATACATATACATATATTACGGATATATTGCGGGTTGCTGCAAGGTTTCAGCCAGCCCGGGTTGAAAGTTGGAGCTTCAGCGCCGAGGGCCATCTATACCATGGCTATGTTAAATAACCAGATGGCATATAATATCATATAATATCATATAATATCATATAATATCATATAATATCATATAATATCATATAATATCATATAATATCGTATAATATCGTATAATATCATATAACATCATATAACATCATATAATATCATATAATATCATATAATATCATATAATATCATAAAATATCACACAATATCACACAATATCATATAATATCATATAATATCATATAAATTCATATAAATTCATATAATATCATATAATATCATATAATATCATATAATATCACATAATATCATATAATATCACACAATATGATATAATATCATATAATATCATATAATATCATATAGAATCATATAATATCATATAATATCATATAATATCATATAGTATCATATAATATCATATAATATCATATACTATCATATAATATCATATAATATCATGTAATATCATATAATATCATATAATATCATATAATATCATATAATATCATATAATATCATATAATATCATATAATATCGTATAGAATCATATAATATCATATAATATCATATAATATCATATAGAATCATATAATATCATATAATATCATATACTATCATATAATATCATATAATATCATATAATATCATATCATATCATATAATATCAAATAATATCATATAATATCATATAATATCATATAATATCATATAATATCATATAATATCACACAATATGATATAATATCATATAATATCATATAATATCATATAGAATCATATAATATCATATAATATCATATAATATCATATAGTATCATATAATATCATATAATATCATATACTATCATATAATATCATATAATATCATATAATATCATATGATATCATATAATATCATATAATATCATATAATATCAAATAAAATCATATAATATCATATAATATCACACAATATCACACAATATCACATAATATCATATAATATCATATAGAATCATATAATATCATATAATATCATATAATATCATATAATATCATATAATATCATATGATATCATATCATATCATATAATATCAAATAATATCACACAATATCATATAATATCAAATAAGATCATATACTATCATATACTATCATATACTATCATATACTATCATATACTATCGTATACTATCGTATGATATCATATGAAATCATATGATATCATATGATATCATATCATATCATATCATATGATATCATATCATATCATATAATATCATATAATATCACACAATATCATATAATATCATATAATATCAAAAAATATCATTTACTATCATATACTATCATATACTAACGTATACTATCATATACTATCATTTACTATCATATACTATCATATACTATCGTATGATATCGTATGATATCAAATGATATCATATGATATCATATGATATCATATAATATCATATAAATTCATATAATATCATATAATTATCATATAATATCATATAATATCATATAATATCACACAATATCACACAATATGATATAATATCATATAATATCATATAATATCATATAATATCATATAATATCACACAATATCACACAATATGATATAATATCATATAATATCATATAGAATCATATAATATCATATAATATCATATAATATCATATAGTATCATATAATATCATATAATATCATATACTATCATATAATATCATATAATATCATATAATATCATATAATATCATATGATATCATATAATATCATATAATATCATATAATATCATATAATATCACACAATATCACACAATATCATATAATATCATATAATATCATATAGAATCATATAATATCATATAATATCATATAATATCATATAATATCACTAAATATGGTATATAATCTATGATATTTAAGATACTAAATATACTAAACCCTAGACATGATATTTATATATATATATATATGGTCATACAATATCATGTAATCATGTAATATTAAAGACGATATTAAAGCTGATATGATTATGTGACGATATATATATATATAATAAACTTAATGACACCCAATAAATTACGCAATTGCTAAGTATGAATATAGAATATTATAGAATGTCAAGCACATAAGCTATTTGTAGTTATTTGACATGTACATGTCATATGGCCACGCTGATATCTCTACCCCACCTCCAACAGTTCTTCCGGACAAGGAAAGGCCACCATGCCCGAAAACCTCGGAGACGTGCTGAACGAAAGCGCTGGTTGGTGGTTGACCTACCCCTCTGAAAAATATGAGTTCATCAGTTGGGATGATTATCCCATATATGAAATGGAAAATAATCCAGCCATGTTTGAAACCACCAACCAGGTGGTTTTTTAATGCTATATTAGATGATGGTATACCATGTTACCAATATCTGATCCCTCATATGTTGATGGTATTAGGTATATGATGGTCTAATTGGCTTGAGTATTCTTGAGCCCCAAATGTTGGTTTTCCAAACGACCCTGCTGCGACCCTGCGTTTGTCTCAGCCCCAAACGACTGCTGCCGGATGTTGATGAAGCGCGGCATCTTGGCCGCAATCCGCGCACGGTGCACCTCACGTAGGAGCAGTGGCTGTGCATGCAGAAAACCTGTCATGCTAAGTGGTTGATTCTTGTCCAAAATGGAGGAAAAACATCTACACAAAAGCGGTAACCTGGCTCCATTTTATGAGTTAATAGTTGAACCAAGCAACAACTACAAATGACATACCTGGGATGTCCAAGCAGGGACAACATGAACGAACTTGAGAGTAGTCGAAATGCTGGTGGGAGTAAGCCACTTAGTCACTTATCATTTTGTCAGAAGACAAGTGGATACGAATGGATAAGATAAACCAACATCACCAACATCCATTGGATAGAATCATAATTAAATATAAATATACTTTTAAATATAATGTGATTTTATAAGATCATCATCCAGTGGATACTTATCAACTTATCATGTTAAACAGTTAAACCACTTTTATCATTCCATCTTCCGCCGTAAGAGGTACTGCAAGCCACTTGGGTTTCTCTGCAAATAGTGTACTCCTGAATCCTGTGCTTTCTATCCCCCATGGTCAGACACAGCCACTGACATCCCATTCCATCCCATTCACGTTGTCAAGGATGGAATCCTAGTCCTAGTCCATCCAATTTTCTGATGTTCATGTCATGGTGAATCTTAGATACTTGCCAAAAATATCATGTTTAGCTAGCTAGCACATTTTACCATTAAAAATCGCAAAAGATTCAAGTACTAGTTCGTATCTCACCAGTCGGTCGACCCAGATCTTATCGAATGGTTACCGTGCTGGTAAAACTAACAGTTTGCTATGGAACATGGAACCAAATTTATAGTTGATTTACCCTCTGGTTATTTGACATAGCCATGGTATAGATGGCCCATAGAAATAGATGGTTTACCTGGGTTACCTATTAAAAAATGGTGATTTTCCATCGTTTTGAGATCCCACTGGCGCCCGGACGCGAATCACATCCCCTACCGTGAGGTGCGGCAATCGTTCCACCTGCGATTCGCCGGGTGGAACGAATCTATCAACCCCCCGGTTGTTTTTATTCACCCGTGGCCACGAAACCCATGGGTTTTTTCTTGGGAATTTCCACATATTTTAGGGTTTCCACATTTTGTTGGGACAGAAATATGGGGTGTTGAATATCTGAATGGGTGATGGGATTTAGCCGGATTTTTTGGACTTTTCAGCCAAACATCTGGATTTGACCAGGAAACAAGTGGGATGTCGCCAGCGAAGATGAGCATTTCAGGAAACAGAATGGAGTTATCTAAGTCATCGTTTGCGGTTGAAACCAGGGTTTGTACCATCAAACTAGTGAGGGGGTCCTGTTTCGCTTGGCCGCATCTAATTACACCCTGGAAATTGAATCCCAAACGTGGGAGTGTCCAATCGGAAAATCCTCTTCCAAATCCATTCTGCAAGAATCAATGCTAGTTGTCAACAATTCTTAAGGTATTTGTATACAGAATCATAACATATCATAACCGTCATAACCCAAGCGTCTGATTTCAATCGTCACAAACCCCTGCCTTCTGTCCCTCAATCGAAGTCCTACGAGTCGCAAGGGCAAGGCCACTACTTGCATCGGAAAATTCACAGCAAAAACATGCAAGTTTGCACAAACTCCTTAAAGTGTTTTTTCGAAGGTTTTTCTGAGTTCCTGTTTCATATGTTTCGGAGTTCGCACTTCCGGAAACTGAAACCCTACACGAAAAAAAATATGTACCCCCTATTTCAAAAAAAGACAAACGAACACATATCTTGGGTGGAACAGCCTTAGAAGCCAAAATTATGACCACTTCCCAAATGGCTATGGGTCAAGTAATTTGGGTACGATTCTGGACCATTCAATGGTTGTCCATTTTTTGGGCTGAAACCATCCATGTCGTGGGGGTGACATTTTGACCTGTGGAATCTTGGGTTTCTTTTAAGACATATAAACAAACGATTCTCATACCCGCAACTAGCATAGGCATAGACCCACCACATTTTTGGCGAATGGAAGATAACTTTCGCCTAAACACGGGTCACGTGTTGTCGATATTCAAAATTGATTATCTGTGCATGGGTCAAAATCAGCAAAAATCAAACAAAACATATCCTCTGGTAAACTAACATAGCAATGGAAAATCACAATTTTTAATGGGAAAACTCACTATAAATGGCCATTTTCCATAGCTATGTTAAATTACCAGAGGGTATGGTTAATCATGTGGCTTTCCCACATGGATCATCCTCGTTCATCCCACGATAAGTGCCCGCTTTGGCTGCCCAACGTCACGCTGAAGAGTGGTAACTTGTCGGTCGTCGACCTGTGACAGTGACATCGTTTCTGGGTCGCTTGTAGCTGGATGACTCTTATTCAAGAGTTAAAACTAAATAATGGGATGGATAGTGAAGAATAACTGGGATGATTTTTTTTAGTTGTCACTATTTATCGCAATATTTATATACATTTAAGAGTTAGCATGACGGGCAATGGAAACTAATAGGAGATTTGTTAGCACATAATAATCATCCTATCTGCTCAAGAATGATGGTCGGTAAACAAAATATGGGAGCGAGTTGTAAAAGAATTGGAGTTAAAGACAAAAGAAATGGGAGTTGAAGGCGAAGAATGATCCAATTTGTGGTGAGTCTATTGATACACCCCGCCTTTTGGGGGTTGCCGATACATGACACGTCGAGACCTTTGTGCCCTAGTAGGCATATGCTGAGCAGTTCCACCTCTCTGAGATATGGTGCTCTGCACAATGAATCCTGGGTTGCCCCGACCACTCCGCGCAGGGAAAATGCTCAAAGGTCCTTGGAGCACTCTTCTTACTTGATCATCTTTGTTTGTTGGGCAGGGAATGGTGATTTCACCCACCAAACTGGGACAATATCTGTTTCATCCGAGATTTAACCAGCCAAACAGGGATATACGGATACACCCTCTGATAATTAATCCAATTAATGCAGCAAGCCCATGAACAAAATCACATAAACCTTCAAAAAATATCAGAAAAATAGGTTTGTTTGTTCGGGGGTTTACCATGTCACTGGAGGGTAACCTCCAGTAATATTGGCTGGAAATGAACCCTTTTAAAAATTCTAGTTATGAGTTTCCACTGGAAATAGGGTGTCCATTGCCATTGTTGATTACCAAAGGGAAGCCAAAGTTACTAGCTGATTGCGAAGGATCTTCATTTCAAAGTGGTTAGAAGGCAAGGGACATTGTGAATCTTCAATTTCAGTGGGGTTGTTTCATTTTGCCGATTTGCAAGTAGATGACTGCTCAGTCACCAAGCCAACAAATGGACATCCAAGTAGCGGATCGAAATGATATCACAAGATATCATCAGCGCGAAGGTTCCGTATATTCAAGCCGGTGTTTTGACCGTGTGCTATAGCCCATGGAAAGGGGGACGATGTGACGATGTTTTGAAACACCACAAAAAAACCGGTGCCGCCCAACCGTGCTCCCAACGGATCCACCACAACGAAAGCGTGTCGGGACCATCCCTTGTCGAACTGTGGGCCTTGCCTTGGGAAACGCGGGCCATCCGGAGATCTGTAGATTTTCCCGAATGATTCTTGTAGTTGTTCTTAATAATCAGGAAATTAATGGAAATTATACAGTAACGGAATATACAATAATACTATACAATGATACTATACAATAGTATACAATACTATTGAGAATTAAAAAGAACTGATGTGCACCTCCTGGTGATATGGCCACTTATATATCGAGTCTCAAATGGCACCTCCTGGCACCTCCTGGCACCTCCTGGCACCTCCTGGAACCTCCTGGCAATCAAACAAACAAAGCTGGGAACTGTAGATGATCGACCTGATAAAGCTTCGACCAAATGCGCTTCAATCTTAGGTTTACCAAATCACCAGAGGCTATGATCCTTGTTTATCAGGTTTATCCTAAGATTATCATTTAAAACAATCCAGAATGTGTTTTTAGGATAAACAATTCAGGAGTAAAAATCTTAATATTTGTTGTTAAAATCCAGAATTTCTTTCTTCACTGGGTCCAAGACCTGGAACTTTCCCACACCACAGCCCAAAGGTTGGCCTTGGCAGCCAAGAATCAACGGAACATGGGGATAGAATAATCAATAATCTGCAGTTATATTACATGTACACTGTATTAATTATTTATATAGTCTGTAATATATGATGTAGATATAATATAGAATCATGTTTATATTACACATGTATACTGTATCCTGGTTGGATGATAGATGACTCATCCGTACTCTTTCTCTGATACAAATTGGAGAAAATTGACACTGACACATTTTGTACTGGCGAAGATGAATCTTCTGTCATATTGTTTGATCTTTCCGGAAATTGTAAATAACATTGTTATTTCATACCCCATTTTCATCCATTTTCAATCACCCAAATCGGATAGTCGTTTCATGTTGTTTCCGTATGTTTCCGTTATTTTCCTACTTTGCTGGTAGGTAATAATTCCCAATGTGTTTCTGTTTTCAGGCCGGCACCCCCCCCCCTAGCCCTGGGAAATGCCACATCTGCACCATCACGAAGTGTGCAGAGCCAGCTGTGGTATTTGTACCTCGAGGCAGCTTCTTGGGACTCAAACACGATGATGATTGGCATGGAGAAATCATCTATGGACAGAGGATTCTCCGTCGTCAAACCATTCTGAATAGACCGGGGTTCCCAGATGTTCCCAGTTCCCAGTCCACATTTCCTGTTTAGACATCACCGTCTTCGAAGATTTCAGCACATTGCCGAGTGATGTTTCACCTCCCATAAATAATATGGGGAAATACAAAGAGCCCTCAGCTACATGGGGTGAAATCAACAATCTATATATATATATATAATTAGAGAATCTCCACGGGAAGACAATCATGGATTTCCACATCTATGTCACTTCGCTGGAGAGTGGGGGTGCCGCGCGCTAAAAAAACGTGAGGAGTTCACCCAAAATCGTGAGCTCTGAGGAGCGGCAACAAGTCTCCTAAGAAAGATTAAGAAAGTTTCTCCACAATGAGTACCAACTGGGCTGATCTTTGAAGATTTTGAAGTGGATTTCAGATCCAAACATAGCTGCGTGTAAGTCACTTTGGAGGGTTGAGACTGTGTCGACAGCGCTTATAGCCGTGATTTTTTTAGATGACATCACCAGCCATGTCTGCTTGGAAGTTTAAAAAAAATGCCGATTGATTCCACTGCTTCCACTGCTGATTGGGGTCATACCCGACAGCTGAGATTCCAATAGTCCAGACCATGGCCATCCTTGTCCCCCTGCAGCGTTTGCCAACTTGGACGAGACACACTTTGCCAGCCTGCAACAACGGAGATTTCGGCAAACAATCCCTAAAAATATGGACAGCTGAATGGCACTGTAGGTGATAATAATTGGTAAGGGCAAGCCTCATGGAACATCTGCAGGTAAAGAACCGGGTATCCGGTATCATTCATTTTTCTGTCCAGTTGCATTGCAAAGTTGGCATCTCCTTCTTCAGCTACATGATGTGTTTGTTGCTTGAAAAAAACACGCAATAGGTGTCCTGCTTCAAACAATGAACGACGGCCAATCTTAGATTTGGATACCTCGCAAAACTAGAGTTTCAGCTGGTTGTATTATAATTATGTATATATATAATTATATATATATATATGTATACATGATGATACATTATGTATATGTCCTATTCATGGCCACGGTTCCCCACAAAAAGCATTGAAGGCTCTACAAGTTTGCTCTCCAAGGTTTCTTTTTCAAACTGCAAAGCACCCATGTCCCTTTCAAAAAGCAACCGGTTCTGCGCTTGGCACTGGTGGCACTGACAGACACGAGCAAGCTGGTCCTATAGCCCTGCTGTTTGCTGTTTTGCAATCAGGACAATGCCACATAAAATATAAAAATACAACAAAGGCCAGGAAGAACAGCCAAAGGCACAACACACCCTCATTCATTTTTGCCCAAATCTTTTCCAACGAAATGCCGAGCCAACCTCCAGACAAGCCCCCGGATACAGTGGTACCCAGAACTCCTCCGCATATCCAACCCGCTGAAGATGTGAAGAGTGGAATGCAGACTCCTCCTGAAAGACCACCCAATAAGCATCCCGCAATGTAGAGACTCAGCACTGTTCGGCCCATTGCCTGCAAAGACAACCTCTCGATAGCTTTGGAACGCTGCTACGCCCCTGGCTGTAACAAATATTGCCCAAGAACTCTTGGTCCAAATAGCTGACCGGCCAAATCAAGTGGTCATGTCTCAACTCTCACTTGTGTTAGAAAGTTGAGGAATCACAGTGTGGCCATCGTTTGACACGAGCAGTAGTATTCCCACAAACAGGCAAAAAAAAACAGCAGAAGTGAGCACCCAAATGCACAGCGCAAGCTGAGAATAGATGCCAGACCATCATCGTGGGACACTTTTGTAAGACATTGTAAGACGCTTCTGTAGAACAGTCTTTGAAAACACTCTTCTGAACCATTCTTGTGGGGGACTCCTGTGTGCACACTCTATTTGGGCGCTCCTGTCAGACACTCTGTGCAGACACTTTTCTGACACACTCTCGTCGGACACACTTCTGAGAGACTCTTGGCAGACTCCTTTGCAAGACATACTTATTTAGACTCGCTCACCCTCACCAAGAGACTATTGTCAGACACTCTCGGCAACACACTTTCGTGAGACGCATTTGTCGAGACACAAGGCTTATGAAACTCTCTCGCCAAGACACTCTTGTGAGATTCTTATGCGGGACACTCATATGGAACACGTTTCTGGGACTTTGCTGTCATGACACTCTTCTCAGATACTCTTGCCGGACGCTCTTGCGAAGACACTCTTTTGACTGAGACACTTTTCTGAGACACTTCTGGGAGACTTGTCTGAGACTCTTGTACTAGCAAGAAAACAGATCTCGGCACCACCGAAATGCTGCACCTGCCACACAAAATGACCTGCCACCCCTGTAAAAACCTCACCAAATATTGCGCCTGCCATGTAACATGACATGCTAGCAATGCATTGCGCCTGCCACACAATTTTGTGTTGTCACTTCTTGCAGCAATGCCAATGCGGTTTGAAAAAAAAAGTGCAAAACCGTAACCACACGTCTAAAGTAATTACCGCTCCTGGCACGAGACATGAAAGTCATCAAACACCATGTAAAAGTATTGCGCATGCCACCAAAAACAACTTTCAACGCACTTGCCGTCACTTCTGAGTGTCATCAAGTACCAGGACTGCCGCAGAAGATAGCATTTCATGACGTTGCAAAACTGCAAAGCATCCAAAAATAACGCTCTTCCAGACGTTCCCAATACTCACGGCATACGGTTGCGGACGTTTGCCGACGGTTAGGGACGGTTGTCGACGGTTGGGCACCGTCGAGAGAACAAGGGCTCAGATAGATTTGTAGAAGGACAAGATAGAAGGATAAGATAGAAGGATAGGTTGGAGAGATAGATAGGATAGACAGGATAGACAGGACCGATAGGATTCCTAAAATTGATAGGACCGATAGGATAGGTGGGATAGATAGGATAGATAGAGAGATAGATAGAGAGATAGACATAGAGATAGATAGGGAGATTAGATAGATTAGACAAATTACATAGATTACATAGATTAGAAAGATTAGAAAGATTAGATAGATTAGATAGATTAGATACGAGTAGATTAGATTAGATTAGAATAGAATAGATTAGATTAGATTAGATTAAGATTTAGATTGGATTAGATTAGATTAAGATTTAGATTGGATTAGATTAGATTAGATTTAATTTAGATCAGATCAGATCAGATTAGATTACATAGATTGGATTGGTTTAGATTTAGATTTAGATTCAGATTAGGACGAGATTAGACTGGATTAGGTAGAGTAGAAAGAGAAGAGAAGATAAGATAAGGTGGATAGACTGATAGACAGACAAACAGACATGATATATCATCATGTCCATATACTTGCTGGCTATATCAAATGTCAAGTGTTCAAAACCTACTATTCATCTATATCAAATTGGGATAATACCGGCAAATCCCAATACTATCTTGATCTACTCAAATCTACTCTGATTAGATGACGTAAATGGAGACTCTGGCAAATCATACCTGTGAAAGATGTCCAGTTGTAGACGACTCTCAACCCAGTCTTTCCAAAACAAATGAATACTGAACCAGCTCCAATCAACAGATCTTTTTCGTGCCCTGCCGAAGCATTTCTGTCGTTTGTTCTGCAGCACTAAGGGAAGAGCTGGCCGCAACGGGTTGGGAATTTTCAACTGCCGTGAAGATTTCAGATGTGCCATGATGGTAAACCAACCGCATCTCTGGCGAATATGACTTTAACGAACTGTGTTGCTTGGAATTGGTTCAAAAATTCAAGTTCATTGACCATGAAAAAGTCATTGTGGTAATTGCCTTAAATTCTTCAAAAGCAACCAGTTGGGGTTCATCTGGTTGTATATCCCAATATATCCCACCATATCCCCATCATATTCCCATTATATAAATGTTGGTTATATATATTGTCGATGGTCCACCTCTACCTACCAGATGTTTGCAATATCCACTGAGCTGCCTGTCCTTCGGTATCTTCACTGGCTGTCCAAAACCGCAGCAGGCTGCGGAATTGTTTTTCCGCTTCGAACAGGTACAAGCCAACGCAATGGCTGAGCCACCGTTTGAAACCTATCCTCAATTAAAATAAATTGAAATTAACATCAGATTGACAGATTGGATCCAATAGTATACTACATCATGTATGTTCATAATCAACAAAGTCACTGCACGTCCATCTCTGTGAGCGTCAAAAAAGTACCGCGGTGTTTCATCCCAAAGCATTGCTTCCTGGCCATGTTTTTGATCTTTTGATGGTTACATCATGATCCCATCAGTGGCAAAGCTCTGCAACGGCCTTGTACTGCAATGTTTGGATGAGACCACGCGTCACGTGTCAACTTTGGACTTGTGGCAGCCTCGCCCCAAAAAGGGCTCACGCCAGGGCCGCCACGGTGAAGTCAATGCTGAAGTGGGGTTTCAGATCATCGAATTTCACCATTTCTTGCAATGGGTTTTGCTTTTATTTGTTCTGGATGTGAACCCCATATTGGCAGGTCATTTTGCAAAGATAGATATGTATATATATATATACATAAGATTCATTATTAAAATGCATATATCATAGTAATATCAAATCATTTTGGAAATATCACGATTTTGGATATGATTCGCATGATATTTCCACTAGTAATGTCATTAAAACCCTGAGGAAAGGCTGTCTGCTTTGCCGCTTCAAGCTGTCACAGCACCCGTTCATTAGTGGCCCTTCTTGTGTTGCCTCGGTGGAATGGATGGCTGCTACTAACAGGGGATAAAAACCACTCGGGTGGTTAAGAGAACAACATTTAATGGACATATACATATCATACATATATGTATATACATATACTGTATATATATATATTGCATATATATATATACACATATACATATATTTGGAAAATGACATGCCAACGATGGGGTTGGGGTTTAGTGACATTACCAAGTGTGACACAACAATAACAAGTGGTTCTGGATAGGGTTTATCGAGCACCAACAATCACTATCACCATGCATCCCCACCAACAATCACTATCACCATGCATCCCAACTCCTTCACTGTAAGCTAGGTTGCCCCTCACAGTTTGTTTGTTTTTTTAATTTCTGCAGCTACTTTAAGTGGTGCCTGTGATAAATTTTTGCATAGATTGAAGAAAAATCTAACCACCATTATGAGGACTTGAAAGAAAATAAGGTGACAAAACATCCCTCACATCAGATACCGCTCTGCAAGCATGTTCTATTTGGTTGGATAAGAAATATCCATGAATCGTTTCAAATCTATTTCCCCCAGGTTTACCCAGAACTTAGCCCAAGTGGTGTGCATTGCCAACGATGGCGCACCCCACCGAGCACTCTGCAGACCAGTGGCACGCCCAATTGCTGCACCACCCTAGGGTGAGGATTTTTCATAAACAGTGGGACGGGTGGGTTTATTTTTGGCTTTTTGGGGGGTTAAAAATTTTAGATAACATTAAAAGGAAAAATAATGATAGTTTTAGGTGTTCTAGAGTTTTATTGATACAATGTCACATTATAATATTGAACAATTATAACACATGGGGATGATGATAACATTAGATACTTGGATGGGTTCAGGACATGAACGATGGGCATCAGTAAGATTCGGAACGTTTTAATGACTGCCCATCAGGTTGGAAGTCCAGTTGTGTGAGTGACATTTTTTTTCTGACAATCCCATTTATACAAGGAAATTCAAGCATCATCCCGCACAAAGATCATCCCCCTAATAATGATAAGGTTTGCTGGTGGATATATATAGATAGAGTATGGGATATCATAGGCCAGGACGATTTGGTCACATCCACCTTTGGTGCGAGAAACACTTGACTTTCCCAATTTTGTCAGTTACCCATTGGTGTTCGGTTCAATGGAATAGTTTAGGGAAAATCTACCGGAATCATGGTTTTCCCCTTCGGAAAAATGGAGGTTTCTTGAAACTGTCCGTTTGTGTTCACACGACATACAAATTGTCTGGTTGCGATGCACCCATTTTTTTTGGTTGGGTGACAAAAACCCATATATATATATAAGGCAGCTGACAAGCACATCTATCCTTGTTAAACAATACCTATATAATATATGTATTGTTTAACTAACATAGAAGTGCCTGTCAGTTATACCTATTTTTGTTTCAGCTATACCTAACAGATGTGCATATGCAACGAAGGCGCTGGTACTGGGTGCCACTGGACTCGCTGTCCAGCAGGCGCTTGATCCATTTGGCGCCCTCCCCGGGAGACAGCTCGGTGTGAGTGCCATCCTGGCGCACTGATATGGACGAGATGCACGGGTAAATCAAAGGTCAATGATGGGATGTTACGAATGCATCATAGGAAAATCATGGGGTGTAAATATATATATATATATACTACTATTTGTACACTTCAGGATGATTGCCCTATAATTACCAAAAATGATCCTGAAGTAGATAGAACACGGGAATTTCAGGATTTTCCCGTATGTTTTTGAAGTTTTCTTTTGACATGCTCACATGCTATTGATTTGATCCCAAGGTGAGTGTATATGATATGTAAACCGGTGGATATATCTCAGATGTATGGTATATGTTGGTGGTATATAATATGCATATGTCCGCTGACCCCAACCGACCGCACGGGGTAGCGCGTCAGAGAAGAGGTTACAAGCAGCAAGTGCCGACAAACATTTGGAAA